CCAAAAATGTTTGTCAAAGCCAAATTGTAATTTTCCAATTGAGTGCGAGTTGTCGACAAAAACAATACTCTGCCATTGTAGTGGCTTCATTTTGTGAACGGAAAAAAGAATATTAATAATTGTAGATTTTGGATTTAAATAATATGCTTTCAATATGTTTGAAGTAGACTTTCAAAATACTTTCCAACTTTATAGATACAATTTATAAAATTAGGTTTAAAATGATTTGCTGACTAAGGCATGACAAGGTTTCAAGCATCCTTAGATTCATCCCAGTTTTAAATATTCTGGAATGGGATTTTAATTATTTGGACCACAGTGCTGCCTTCGTCTCATTCAATGTCCTCTGCCAATAAAGCACACGCCCTGTGCGCATCCAATCAAAAGGACGATTACACAGAAAGAAAAAATTGTTGTGATGTGATGATCAATTTTTAGACTTTTTTTAATTCATGATAGACCCAGATACTCCTAAATTTTTCTACGTTTCTTCTTTGTCAAAATAATGAAAAAAATACAAACAAAATTAAACAGAGTGGGATTTTAACTTGAGTTTTTGTTACCAGGATGTAAATGCTCTATTTGGTTTATTTAAGCAAACAAGAATTGGATTAACTGTGACATTTGTTCACTTATCAAGTTAATGTGAAATAATACAACATAAAAATTATATATTTGGTATTTATTGCTATTTTTATTTTCTGTGTAGGCGGACGTCAGGACAAACGGAACTTCCGGACGGACAGGAGCGGAAGAGCAGACACAGACACAGAAACGGATACATACACACGAATCGGATTGGATGCGTTTTTGAGCGTGGCAAACAAAGGAACAAAAAGGAAACTCCGTGCCGCCGAAAGGAGCAGGAGAAAACATAAACAAGAGCGGCTAAAAAAACAAGCGAAACTAAACCGAAAAGAGAAAAATAACAGTTAGAAAGGGGGCGCGGCGCCTTGAAAAGGGGGCGGTGGCACCTCGACTGCGTGTTTATGTCTGTTTATAGTTTATAGTTGAACTTGAATGATTGAAACAAGTCGGCGAAAAAAAAGAAGAGAGGAGTGTAAAAGAGAAGAGAGAGCATTGAATGCCAATGTCAAGGCAATTAGCCAGCCGAAAGCCGGTTGGAAAAATCAGCAGCACGGCGGCTGAAAAACAATGCCACAAGGTGGAGCAGCAGCAGCCGAAGGAGAGCTCAAAATGAAATGCTAAAGTGAAAAAGAAAAAAAACTGAAGAGGCACAGACCGAGAAAAACAGAAAAACAGGCAGTGAAGCGAACTGACAACTGCCATAGATTTTATGACTTGCAAGAGGCCCAGAGTAAAAACCGTGGCCATTGCCTTTACACCTGGAAATGGAGCAGCAGAGAAGCCGGCTCTGTCTAATTTGCACAGGCCGTCTGGAAGTAGAGGTGGCCTTGTGACACGACCATCTCGATGGTTTCCATTTTCCCAATTCGAAATTGTTTTATTATTAACTGAAAATCTGCATTTGGAAGTACAAAACACAGAACAAACAAGAATTGCTGAAATTATTCCTAATTATACATGTTGACTTTACTCGAAAATATAATTTTAAAAATGAAAACCTAATAAAATACAAGAACACAACTTGTAAATAAAAAACTTATTCAATACCAAAGAAAAAAATATGAGATGTTTACTGTTTACTGTTTAACCTTTTTCCAATTTTAATGAACTTTGATATGCTCAGTTGGTGGTTCACAGACTAAATACAGTCTTGAATTTGGTTATCTAATTATGTAGTTCCGTCTATTAAAAAGGATTTTAAAAAACAGCAACTAAAAAGTGTATTTTGTATTTACCTTTTTAAGTAAATAAACAAAAACGAAACTGAAGATTTAACAGGACTAAGATATCTTCCCTTTTTTTATTTTAACAAACTAAAAATAATGTTACAGAATTCCAAACTCACTCTTTACTCTTCTTGTGCAACAAGAGTTCTTAATATATTACACAAATGTAGTATTTAAAACTTCTTCAATTAGTTTTTGGGACACTTGTTTAAACCAGAAAAAAAATTATTTTCGTGACACGACCCTAAGCGCGACCCTTGGCCATCCCTAGTCTGGAGATGAGAGAGCGAAGGAGAGCCATCTTTGGGCAAGGAATTCCACTTACTTTCTTTGCTCCTGCTTTTTGGCTCTTTCGCTCTTCGCTGCTTTTGTTGCTGTTGTTGCTGCTGCTGCTGTTGTTGTGATTGCTCTTCGCGAAATGTCACTTAGTCGCTTGTTTTATAGTATTAGTTTGGTAGTTATTATCCTGTTTTTAAGTTTTCTATTTAGCACTCGCTCTCTCGTCTCCTTTTTTTCGTCTGCCTTTTAGCCGGTGTTTTTTCAGTGCGTTCGTGTGCGTGTGTGTGCGTCTGCCGTGTCGTCACACCCTTCACTTCTCCAATTCGAATTTCGAATCTGGAATTATTTTGGCCAGAGATTTAACTTCTCACACTCACACAATACAATGCAAAAAAATGATGAAAAAAAACGTAAACAAATCACGGGCGGGCGGTAATTAATTAGTATTTTCCTTTATTTTTAACCCTGCTCAGTTGGCAGAAGGCAATTGAACGCTTTGTTGTCCGGCTTTTTTAGGGTATGGCAGGAAAGGATTTTCACGATTGGATTCGAGAGTTCTGATTGCAGGTTTTTCTGTTTCTGAGACGAGACGCATGCGCGCACAACAGTTTGATTTTAAGTTTTGATTTTTGCTTCTGCTTTGCTGCGAGAGAGAGAGAGGAGAGAACGACCGCTCACGAATTGCACTCGAGTGGGAATGAAACCCGTTGCGAGCAAAGCCGCGCTATTTGTATCGCCCGCCAGAGATGCCACTGTTGCCGAAGCGGCGGTTTCCCGCCAGAACGGCGGGACGGCGCTCTGGTCGCACTGTAAACTGGCTAATCGCAATGATATTTTGCATAGCTAAATAAATTGGATGTAAAAAATGTTGGCTCTTGACAAAGGTCATATGTTAAGCATAGGAAATATTTTTTATTTTCGTTAAGATAATCATGAAAAAAGAATTAAGAATAAAATGTCATTTTAAGCAAATGGCAAGGCAACTTTACAAATCAAAATAACAAACAATATTATAGCAGTTACAAACTTTTGAACACAAAAGTCAGTTTTTATTTATTTTTCCGATATTAACGTTACCTTAATTAAATGTTTTTAAATTCTAAGAATGAAAAAACACTCAAGCCGTAGGGACTTGTTGCAAGTGTAGATAAACATATTTTAGAGCTACGGGAACATTTCATATTCTAGTTATCCTATAAACAGCTAGTCATAGTAGAAGCAATACTTTTTGGAAAACTTTGCACAAATCATTACCGTCAGTTGTGATAAAAATCAATTTTAATTTAATTTAAAGGCATTTGATACAAATAAGGCCACTTAAAGATATGTTTAGCGGAAAATAGCCAAAGGTCTCAGCACTGGCGCATAGCATAGAAAGCCAAACCGCCGTTGCTGTTGGCTTACAGTAACAGAGGCCGACGTCTGCTAGCTAACAGCACTGTTAGCATTTGCGCGGGATTTGAAATCCGAAATCGTAACGGTGCCTGGGCAAAGGAAATGTGCATAACTTAAGTGCAAAGCATACTTAATTGCAGTTTAAGCCGAAACTGCATCCGAAATTGCAGCTGGCCACCCGAAAGACGCGTCTCGGCCGTTTTGCTTGGCTGGCGACCGAGACTTTAGTCGAGATTCGAGATGAGATTCGGATTCAGATTGAGACATGACTGAGCCCCCGGTGCTTTATGCTCTAATAACCCGCGCTGCACTTGCTTTTATTGGATGTTGCACGTTAGTTTCGGACCTCCGATTCGGGTCCGGATTTCACCAAAATCCTTTAAATCAACACACATGAATATTTATACCGATTTTAGATTTTACAGTTGTTAATCACTGAATATTACCGTCGACCGTCTCCGCTCTTCACGGCTCCTTGGCTGCCAGCAATCTTAAGAGGAGTTAATTATGCTTCGCAAATTAATGTTCGACTGCATGCCAAGTCATTTTTGATTCATCTGTGTTATTTTTGGTTGTTTAAACACTAACAGGGCGCGCGTTGTACACAGTTTGTCGCCCCCGCAGCATCGATATTAACAGCTGTCAACAGAGAGTCGTGATTACCTTGAATAATACAGTTACATTGTTAAAATATGTTTAAATAGTATACAAAATATAAACTATATGTTCCTATAGATAAGAAATTATACTCTTTCATAAACAGCATATATTTTCAAAAAATTAGCTTAATTTTTAAAATAACTAAATTGTTGAATAGTGTGTATGTATTCCAGCAGATAAGATCTGGTTTTGTGTTTATTAATACCTTAGATACTCGAATAAGATCTTGTTAGTACATTTCCAATGTTATTGTTTTCTTGCCGAATCAAAAGGAAAATATGTTTTCTAATAAGCATTTAAAATCTAGAACAACTTTCTGGTTTTCAAAAAGGCAGAAGACATGTGATGCTGCTTAACAAAACGTTTATATAGTTTATTGCATGAGATTTTATGGTAAGAATTTTATCTGCATTAACAAATTAGATTTAAATTAAAAGTCGATTAAAAAAATAAAACAATAGTTCGACCTGATTTAGAGATAAAGATTATAGCTTCTAAAAAAAGATTTCCCAAAACCTTCACTACACAAATAAAACTCGATTTCGGATTTATTGCTTTTTCTATTATTCTGAGTTCAAGTTTATGATATTTCCTTGCAATTTTAATGATTTTAAAGAAGTTGGTTAAAACTGCTTATTCTATTGCAAGTTTGGCATAGAAATTAACTCAATTTGGTTAATTTAAAATTGTACTTTTTGAATTTAACTGAACCGCTCATTAATCCACACCCAACGACATTTGGTCACACTGTTGGGCTTTGTGCGTCAGCTGTAGAATAATCGACTTTCGGTCTATCGATGTTTTTCGATCTTTTTTAAAATCCGGAATCGATGTTTTCATCAACGTTTTCACATCCTTAGTTATTAGAACCAATAACAAAAATTCTAGAGTGCATTTGATTTTATTAGTTTGTAGTTAAGTTACATAGGACCACTAAATTAAAGAAGCTGCCGATGCACGTTGCCACGCCCCCACCCTAAACAGCCAACCACCCCCCGCCTCCGCCCACGACCAGAGAGAAAGAGAGAGAGGGAAATACAGAGCAACAACAACACATAAAGAAAACGAAAGATTTCCGCAAGGAACCACCAATAAAAACAACAAATTGCTTTGGTTACGAGTAACTGCAAAAACAGCAAGAGATTAAATCGGAATAAAAAACTGTGCTCTCTGCGTGTGTGAGGTGTGTGTTTGTGTGTGTGTGGTGCGTGCATTACAATAATTGCACAAAAACCAAGACAAACGTGGGGCGGGGGTGTTTGTAAGCGTGAGCGAGCTCGACATTTAGTAAGAGCGACGGAGGCAGCACGACACGGCAACAACAAAGGGCTGTGATTTTTTTCCCCCGCCCCGCCCCCTCTTAAAACTTACGTATTTACCAAATAAACGGGGCTAAGCTAGAACAACAAAATTACCTGTCAGCAACAACAAATCGAAAAGGTTAACTGTTGGAAAACTGGCTGTTTAAGAATAAGCGCAATGGATGTCCTGGAAATGCTGCGCGCCAGCGCCAACGGCGGCTACAATACTCTCTTCTCGGACGCGTGGTGCCAGTACGTTTCCACGCAGATCACAGCAACGGTAAGTGCACTTCACCCTTTCTTTGTCTTTCGGTTTGGTTCGTAGGTGCGAATGAGTCAATTGCGTTTGGAGAGTGTGTGCCAGAACGAGAGGCCACAAAGGATAGCAGCTGGAAGGCTTGGAATAAATAGTGAATGTGAGGGAGTGTTACAGCTGTTGGGACTTGTGTTCAGGCATAAAAGGGAAGGATTACAGCTGTTAGGGGTTTGGGCATAAAGAGCGGGAAAGCGGGAAGCCAATTGGAAAGTGGATCATACAGTGAAGTGGATTTTATGCAGGACAACAGCTGTGGGAGGTTCGTGACCAAACTAAAGATATAAATTTAAATTAACTTTGACCGAATTCATTTATTAGTCTCGCCAGGTATAATATCTCGATTTAAACATATTTAAAAACATCTTCTAGTCTAAAACCGAAATATAAATATTTCAAGTTCACCCAAAAATGCATTATTTTTATATAATTCAACATTTTTATAATGAAAGCAGCTTTATTTTTGTGATTAACATCTATAAAGATTAGAAACCCTGATAAAAATCCCTGAACGACAGATAAAGCAAGTCTTAACGGCTAAAATAAGGTAACAAACTTTTAGAAAACCCACTTGATTATTAAGGTAAACACCTGGTGATAGTTAATTGTATCGGGACTGGTATATATTTTTCTGTGTGTGTGGCTAGCGTTATCTTTATGGAAATTTTCTAATAATATGGTACAACAATTTAAAGTCACTTAACATGTATAATTTTTAACAGCCGCTAATTTGCTATTTTTCTTGTCATATACAATTGTTGTAAATCATTTTTTTTAAACCCTAATTTATATATTTAATATGAATTTGTTTGGAAAAAATCGAAACCAGTTGTGGAACTCGAATATTTTTCTTATTGGTGGTTGGTGTGGATTGCAGGATTCTAATCAGCTGCAGTGGGTTGATGTCCCAGCTAAATTATAAGAGTCAGGAAATGAAAATGCTATAAGTTTAACCTCTTCCTTTTTTTTTTTTGGGAACTTCCGTGTTTTGATTCGTCGCCTTCAAAACGGAATTGTTTTGTGGCCTTACATAAAACCAAAAAGAAAAGCAAGAAAAAAAGCCACTGACTACAGTAGCCACATGATAACGCCACACGGCCAATAATATTGATAGTGACGGGCCTGCCGACCCCGAAACAAAAAACATAAACTAAACCGCAAATGCTGATAACTGTAACCGGTTGCTAATCAGAAGCACGTGCAATTGTGGGCGGAGGGGTGCGTCCCAAATCAGTTTTCAATAATTCAATTAACCCCTTGGGGCCAAATCAATTTGGCCGCCTTGTGACTGCGCGAATTTTATCGTTATCATGTTGCCATGTATATGTTTGTCCGATCAGATCCAAAGCAAATCCAAGTGGATACATATCGGCGTGAGTGCCATCGGTTTCTAATTAGACCGTCTGAGTCAATTGGAATTTATTGCATTTTTTCTTGTACATTTTGCAAACCTGTTGTAAAAATAAACTGTAAACAAACAATAATTGCGAGGCGTATAAAAGTAACAGTAGGTACACAGGAAGAAATTTATGTGATATTACATAGGGAAAACATTAATATACATTTCGATACTATTTTTTATTCAAATATATTTATTTGGGATAAAAAAATATACAAATCTATTGGCCAGCAGTTCTAAAAATACTCTAAAATATAACCCTGGCTAACCTAAAAAAATTCAATTGATAATTAAATATTTATGTAAATATCGGGCTGTTTTTTTTTTTTTTGTTTTGTTTACGTGTAATATCAAATGAGTGAGTACAATGCGGAAACTGCAGACAATAACAAATGGCGAGCAACAACAAACCACTCGAGAAACTACTGTCACAACAACAACAACAACAACAACAACGGTACACAAGAACAACTCGCAAAACCGCAAACAATAAAAAAAAAAGAAAACAAAACAAGTGCAGCGACGTCACGTCGTCGTTTCAATGTCAAAGTGCCTGAATGCAATAAAAATTGCGATAGCAACAACAAGAGCTCTAAGACAACAACAATATGCATATGTAGGGAAAAGCAACAACAAAACACAGCTGATGCACTTGATTATGCGGGCGTGACACTTGCTGGAAATAGACTTTTGAGAAATTACAAGTGTCTTCGTTTGTGCTGAATAATTTATCAAGTGTCCGCAAGAGTAGAGTGAGCAAATCACAGAAAACCCATATGAAAATTAAATTTGATTTATAATTGAAACGTTTTGAGTCCTCAACTTAAAAGTAGAAAAGGCAAAATGTGTAATAAAACAATTCATTCAATGTATATATGTATGTACCAAAATTATTAGAAATAAATTAGATTTATTTGCTATACTTAAGAGCTTTTCTATTCACCTAAAAAGGTCAATTTGGCTGAAAGTTCAATAGAGGCGTGATTAATAGTTCAAAATTAGCATTTGGGAAAATACAAGTGTTTGTTCTGCATAATTGATTTAGTGAACGAAAGCACAGTAAACCATATGCAATCTATAGCTGCTGCAACTAGTTATTTTTTTTCTTTCAAACCCCATTAGATGGACAGTTTTCACAAAATCACTTATAAAGCAAATATCATATTTGAAACTAAAATATTCGATTCAATTAGATTTTAAGCACCGAGTCTCAAGGCCATAAAAAAGTATATTTTTTGTTTTGTTTTGTTGAAAGTTCCGTGAAAAAAACTTACTTGTCTTTAATAAAATAATCCATACATTTTATATTTGTTTGCTTATATGGCCAATTCCCTTGCAGATGTACATGTATTGTGCGTTGGGCGTGCTGGCCATGCTGTTCCTCGCCTGGTTCATGTACTTCAAGCGGCTGGCGCGTCTGCGGCTGCGCGACGAGATAGCCCGCTCCCTCAGCGCAGTGACCTCCTCGTCCGGCGGGGATCTGCGTGGCCTGCGATTCCGGAAGCGGGACAAGATGCTCTTCTACGGACGGCGCATGCTGCGCAAAATGAAGAACGTCAGCGGCCAGATGTACAGCAGTGGGAAGGGCTACAAGCGTCGGGCTGTGATGCGATTTGCCCGCAGGATATTGCAACTGCGGCGGGACAATATGCCGCTGGAGATGCGCACCGTGGAGCCGCCGGCGGAGTATCTGGAGGAGACGATCGAGGGCAGCGACAGAGTGCCGCCCGATGCCCTCTACATGCTCCAGAGCATCCGCATCTTCGGGCACTTCGAGAAACCCGTCTTTCTGCGCCTCTGCAAGCACACCCAACTGCTGGAGCTGATGGCCGGCGACTATCTGTTCAAGATCACCGACCCGGACGACAGTGTCTACATCGTCCAGTCGGGCATGATCAATGTGTACATCTCGAATGCCGACGGCAGCACCCTCTCCCTCAAGACGGTGCGCAAGGGCGAGTCGGTGACCTCGCTGCTCAGCTTCATCGATGTGCTGTCGGGGAATCCCAGCTACTACAAGACGGTCACCGCCAAGGCCATTGAGAAGTCGGTGGTCATTCGGCTGCCCATGCAGGTGCATTTACTCTTTGGGGTTTTTTATTTTTTTTTTTTTGTAATACCTATATATGTTAGTCAACTTTATTTATTTGATTTTCTGTTCCTTCCTAACGCTTTAAGTACAAAATACACTAATTGTTTAGTGCGCTAGTCACGAAGTGTAACGCTTCAGGAGATAATTAATTATATTAACTGTATACAGAAAATTACAAAGACAATATTGGATCTATTTTCCATTTTGTTTGTATATTTTATTTTTATTTTATTTTTTTATTTTTTTTTTAAATTTTTAATGTTTGTATACCCTTGCAGACTAGTGTCTCAGTTTAAACGCTATCTGCATGAAACTTTTTCAAAAGTTGGCTTTCTATTGGTTTTTAATCCCTAGCAAATGACTTAAAGAAAATCAAACAAATAATATGGTTTTTAATATACAGCTAGTGGTTTTGTGGTTTAATGGCTTTAAAAAACCTATAATGTCATAGCAGTAGCAGTTCATTATTACTATAATTTTTAACGTCTCAATTTAACTAAAATTGTTTTCTAATGCAACTTTAAGGAAGAATATTAGTATTTTGATTGAATACCTTTTTAGTGAACCCTCATTGACCCCAAGTTTCGTTGACTTTGATTGCAGGCCTTCGATGAGGTGTTCCAGGACAATCCGGACGTGATGATCCGCGTCATCCAGGTGATCATGATCCGGCTGCAGCGTGTCCTCTTCACCGCCCTGCGCAATTATCTCGGCCTGAATGCCGAACTGGTGCAAAATCACATGCGCTACAAGAGCATCTCGACGATCGGTGGAGCGATGAACTCGCAGTGCTCGCAATCCTCCCGCCAGGCGCCCAATGGTCCCCCCACGGTGGTCACCCAGCTGAATCTGATGCAGTCTGCCGCCTCGTTGCCGGGCTCGGTATCGTTATCCGGAGCAGGAGCGCTATCGGGAGCGGTATCGGGAGCGGGATCGGGTGTGGCAGTGACCGTGAGCCGGCCACCGGCATCGCCATCGCGACACTCACGCGAGGAGCACACGCTGTCCGATCCGAATCCCAATCCGGACTCTGGCAGTGTTGCGGGCGCCAGCAATCTGTTCGCCGAGGTGCACGGCGATGCACCCAATGCCAATGACATGTTCCACCACCACCACCAACAGCAGCAGCAGCACTCGGTGGGCAATCTCTCCACGCGTCGCGGTTCCATCACTCAGGTGACGCCCGACGGCTCCCAGTCGCAGTCGCAGTCGCATCACAGTCACGTCCCGGGTGCAGCTCCCTCGATAGACATGCGACTGGTGCAGTCGTCGGCGGTGGACAGCCTGCGCAAAGAGCTGGGTCTGCCCGAGGAGGATGCGCACATCATTGAACCGTTTGTGGAGGTGCGCGAACTGGAGCCGAACGTCACCCTCATCACGGAGGGCAATGCGGACGATGTGTGCGTGTGGTTCGTGATGACCGGCACCCTGGCCGTCTACCAGAGCAACCAGGATGCCACGCGAGCCAAGCCGGACAAGAGCGACATGCTCATCCACTTTGTGCATCCCGGCGAGATCGTTGGCGGCCTGGCCATGCTGACGGGCGAGGCCAGTGCGTACACCATTCGATCGAGGAACAACAGCAGGATAGCCTACATTCGTCGCGCGGCCATCTACCAGTGAGTTCGAGTCACCTTTATACTACTTTATACTATGTACATATGCACTATATCATTGCCTTTTTGCATTTTTACCGTTTAGGATAATGCGACAGCGACCCCGCATCGTTTTGGATCTGGGCAATGGGGTTGTGCGCCGCCTGTCGCCGCTGGTGAGGCAGTGTGACTATGCCCTGGACTGGATCTTTTTGGAGTCGGGCAGGGCTGTCTATCGCCAGGACGAGAGCAGCGACAGCACATACATTGTGCTGAGCGGACGCATGCGATCGGTGATCACGCATCCGGGCGGCAAGAAGGAGATCGTCGGCGAATACGGCAAGGGGGATCTTGTGGGCATCGTCGAAATGATCACGGAAACGTCACGCACCACGACGGTGATGGCTGTGCGCGACTCGGAGCTGGCCAAGCTGCCCGAGGGCCTGTTCAATGCCATCAAGCTGCGCTACCCCATCGTGGTGACCAAGCTGATCAGTTTCCTCAGCCACCGCTTCCTCGGCTCGATGCAGACGCGCTCGGGCAGCGGGGCGCCGGGCGCGCCCGTCGAGGCCAATCCCGTCACGCACAAGTACTCCACGGTGGCCCTGGTGCCCATCACCGACGAGGTGCCGCTGACGACCTTCACCTACGAGCTCTACCACTCGCTCTGTGCCATAGGTTCGTATACATCCAGTCAGCCCTGCTGACGCCGTGCGCCAATAACTATTCTTGATAGATTATAGTTGATTTTAAAAACAACAGATTTAAGGGTATAGCTTGTAACACTTTTTGGTTTGGTAACACAAACACAAGGTACTTTCGATTGACAACTGAGGAGAAAGTTCATAGATTAGTATCAAAACTATTCTCTAATTTCTCAACTTTCTTTATTTTACATGGTCTTCAACAATTGCAATCATGATTTGACTCTTTTGATTTTAATTTATTTCTTTTGCATTTATAATTATAATTTAATTTGTAACTTATTTATTCACTTATTACCCTATAAGTTGGTGGGAATAGGAAAATGTTACAAGAACAGAGCCAGATTTGAAGCTTATAGAATGTTTTATATTTTTTCCGCTAAGATTTATTCAGAACACGATGGATAAGTTCGGTAAAGTTTTACATTGCTGCCTTTGTGACTCACGTATATCAGTCAATTCTAATGCTTTCCTTCCCGGTTTTTCGATTAGGACCCGTCCTGCGTTTGACCTCCGATGTGGTGCGCAAGCAGCTGGGTCCGAACATCTTCGAGGCGGCCAACGAGTACCGGCTGACGTCGTGGCTGGCGCAGCAGGAGGACCGCAACATCATCACGCTCTATCAGTGCGACAGCTCGCTGAGCCCCTGGACACACCGATGCATGCGGCAGGCGGACGTCATCCTGATCGTGGGCCTCGGCGATCGCACCCATCTGGTCGGTAAATTCGAGCGCGAGATCGACCGCCTGGCGATGCGAACGCAGAAGGAGCTGGTCCTGCTCTATCCGGAGACCACCAATGCCAAGCCGGCCAACACGCTGAGTTGGCTCAACGCCCGACCCTGGGTGACCAAGCACCACCATGTGCTGTGCGTCAAGCGCATCTTTACGCGCAAAAGTCAATACCGCATTGTGAGTGTAGATGTAATCATTAGGTCTATTAATCTTTTATGACCCATCTTGTAGCAGAGCAAACTACCATTTATTAGCCTTAAAATGTAAACAATGAGTTAGTTAGTTAGGTAGTTATTCAATCATGACACAAAGATTTGGTTAGCTAATATCTTCAAGTACATGTAATTATTGGTCATTATTTTTTAGTTGTTTATGTGCCATGCCCAAACTTAAATTTCAATCTCCTAACTATCAGAATTTCCCAGAACTATTCCCTTAGTTATACCCTAATCTATTGTGCACGCTTTGTTAAGATATTTGAACAATAGGCAGTTGCCCAGAACGTAAACATAGCTATGAATGTTTATCGGTTAACTAGGGCTCATTGACATTGACATCCATTGAGCTTCCGTAGCCCCTCGTGATAAAGATAAAGCAGCCTGATTTCGTGGACAAATGGCCCATTATCAAATGTTTTACCAGTAATCATAAACATGTTAAATGGTATTATTCCATATCTTTACTTGGAAAACCAACATTGAAGCAATGAACGAATGATTAGTGTGACAGGCATGGAGATTAGGCATATATTATTACCTCTTAAATGCTCATGAATGACACAATTGTCGAGATAGGGTAATATTTAATATTTATGTTTTATAGCTTATATTTACATGTATAATATGGTATTGTATATATCTGAACTTACCTTGCAGAATGATCTCTACAGTCGCGTCTTGCTGTCCGAGCCGAACATGCATTCCGACTTCTCGCGTTTGGCCCGCTGGCTTACGGGCAACTCGATTGGCCTTGTGCTGGGCGGCGGTGGGGCGCGCGGAGCCGCCCACATTGGCATGCTGAAGGCCATCCAGGAGGCGGGCATACCCATCGACATGGTGGGCGGCGTAAGCATCGGCGCCCTGATGGGAGCGCTCTGGTGCTCGGAGCGTAATATCACCACGGTTACGCAAAAGGCGCGCGAGTGGTCAAAGGTGGGTTTGAAACACAAGTATCATACATTAAGTTACATTTTTAAATTAATTGAATTGTAAGAAAAAATATTGATTTCCTAATATTTTCTATAATTAATTCAAAACACACATTTTTTGTAATTTTTCAATTTTTTAGAAAATGACAAAATGGTTCCTACAACTGCTGGACCTCACCTACCCGATCACATCGATGTTTTCCGGACGGGAGTTCAACAAGACGATCCACGACACTTTCGGGGACGTGAGCATCGAGGACCTGTGGATACCCTACTTCACCCTCACCACCGATATAACCGCCAGTTGCCATCGCATTCACACTAATGGTGAGTAAATCGCGCTACGCATTTGCCTTCTCTCTCGCTCTCTCTTTCTCGCTTTGTATGTGTCTGTCTCTGTCATTCTGTATTTGGTGCAGTGGGTATCGGTTAAAAGAGTTTTGGATTTGCTAAAAGTCTAGATTTTTATTTAAAAAAATCGGTATTTGGTGATCTATTAGTGCTTAAAAAATCAATTAATGTAATAAAGTAATAATAACAATAATTTTACTTAGACTAATTTATTAAATTTTTTTGATAATTTAAATTTTATAAAATTAACAATGTGGCAATGATAAAATTTAGTTTTTCTTGATAATTAGAAAATTCTAAACTGTGTCTTAAGTCGTAATTTTTATTAAACTTAAACTTTTTTATACTAATCGATATCAACTGCATTAAAAATAAAATTTTTGTGTATTCTTTAAACTTTGCTTTAAAATTTGGACTAATTTCTGCGATAGCTTTTGGTTTTGTTCGATACACTTATCGATTATGGTTTCTAGAACTTTTATTAATCCTTCCTTCCGATTTGCTTTTGTATGGTTTTGTGGTTCCTGATCTTTATGTTCCTTTGGTAGCCTTAGAACTGAGTGTACCCAAAAATAAAACCCCCAGACAATGAGACACCCACACAAGCTCGCACACACACACACACACAGCCTCATTCCATGGCCCGCAACTTATTAGAGGCATTTTTACACTACCAACTGTTACTTTCTGCCGTGATATCGACTAGTTATCGGCGTTGCGCTGCCAATCGAATATGCCGTTATGTTTGAATTCAAAAGTTTTCGAAACAAAATCAATCTCATTGTTGTTGCTACTGTTGTTGTTTGAAAAGCTTGTGCCAAAAGTCGAAAAAACAGATCTTGTGCTTTTTGCTAGAGACTTAACCTGTTGCTCCCAGTTTAAATAACCCCACATTGCTGCTCCCATTAAAACCCAATTCATTGGTGCTCCCCATACCAATCCATATTATCCATTCCATTCCTCAAAATCCTCGCCAAAAAAAAAAAAAAAAAAGATTGCCCAAAGCTATTTTCTCTCAATCTCTCTTATTTTTCTCTTCTCCTTCCCCAAAACACACACAAAAACACACCCAAAAAATACACACACCCACCGACTTATCATTGCTGGCATGTGTCTGTCGTTGATTGATATATAATACCAGGATCTCTGTGGCGTTACGTACGCTCCTCCATGTCGCTCAGTGGTTACATGCCGCCGTTGTGCGATCCTAAAGATGGGCATCTCTTGCTGGATGGCGGCTATGTGAATAATCTGCCAGGTAATTAGCAACTAGCACTTAGCAACTAGCAATTAGAATACAATTTAACAAAAAAAAAAAAAAAAAAAAGTACTTAACCCCGAGCGTTAATACAAAATCTCACTTTCAATTTCCAATCTAGAACTGAGTTTTTCGGCACACAGAGCGCGCAGAGTGTTGGAAATTCCTCTTGTTCGATCATGCTTGCCTGGCGTTCTGATTTCCTCGTTTCCCGTTCCATTCCGCTCCGTTTGTTGACCTTTGCTCCGTTTCCAAAAATCCTTGAGATGCTGTTATATATATATTGTTCTTGTTCATATATTCCTTTATAGATGTACATAAGTTTGAGAGTTTTTTCGGACTGGCAATGTTGTCGATAGTTTGCGCGGCCTGCATTTCTAACGGTAAAAAGCGCATTTGTTTACACCCTCTGTCTAAGTCCCACTCACATGACCACGCACACACTACTCACACATTTGCAAACTTACACCTACACCCACGATTGAGTGCACAAAGTTTCTTTGGTTTATCCTGTATTTATTTTAGTTTTTGATGGTATCTTTGAGTTGCTTTTTAGTTTTGATTTTTTACCCGTTGTTGTTCTTGGACATTTTGTTGTATGCGTATAATAAACCCGATATTATTTGTAGTTGTAGCACTGAAGTATACCGTTATTTCGTGGATAAAAGTGTGTCTATTTCTCTCTCTCTCTCTCTCTTTATCTTTGAAACATATGACCTCTCTTTCACACACGCACACAATTGAATAAACAAACACAAACTCACGTGTCCGTATCTGTGTCCGTGCCATCAACACTCACATATACAATACAATCCACAATTTTGTGTCGTTGTTGTTTGTCCCAACTGTGATTTGATAATGGTGCAAAACAAAAAAAAAGGCCACCTGTGGCGGTACTGCCGCGCCAGCATGTCAATTGCGGGAGTCTTCCCGCCATTTTGTGATTACCGTGACGGCCACCTGCTGCTCGATGGCTGCTACACGAACAACGTGCCAGGTAAAAATAGCATCCACTCCGACTGTCCACGATCCAAGAACCCAGAACTGCAATTCCCGTTCCAACGCTCTGCGCCGCCAACCCTGCGTCCGCTCCAGTTTTGGGAATCGAATTCCACGAGAGTCCTAGATCCCTCAGCATCTCTTCCAGTCCGATTCATTTGTCTCAAATTCCAGATTCTCTACTAAAGTAGTTAATTTTTGAATTCAATTATTTTTGGCTTGACAATCCAGAGCTGAAGAATTTGCGAAAAAATATTTATTAAATACAATATATGTACATATGTATGTATACGTAATCGTAAGGTATAAAACTGGACTGAGATGCTGGGGGAAAGAAAGAAAAAACTTTAAAACCGTTTATATCTGCGTATTTTATTTAATTTTAATGTCATTTAAATATATCGACTTTTTATTAACACTATTTTAAAAAAGTTATATTCCTAGATTCGCAGCTATAAACGGGATTTAAAGAATTAATGTTTCAAAAGGGTTATAAACCAATAACAACAACTAATCAAACATTTGCATTGCATCCACATCGACCACCCAACAAAAAAAAAAAAAAAAAAAAACACCACACGCATGCTCGCCACTCCATTTCCCTGGTCACCATTTAGCCGATGTGATGCACAATCTGGGGGCTGCTCACATAATCGCGATCGATGTGGGATCCCAGGACGACACCGATCTGACCAACTACGGCGACGACCTCAGCGGTTGGTGGCTGCTCTACAAGAAGTGGAACCCGTTCACATCGCCCGTGAAGGTGCCCGACCTGCCGGACATTCAGTCCCGTCTCGCCTACGTGTCCTGTGTTCGCCAGCTGGAGGTGAGCTCTCGAGACCCCCCCCCTTTTGTAGATATCCCTATGGCCAGCCCCTGGCTTGTATTTCCTTTTTATTGACATATGACGGCTGTTGATTTCGAAAGGCTTCAAAAGCCTGACTAATAAATTCTAAAGAATTCGCGTTTTTTTTTTAATACATTTTTATTTATTACGAGCTATTTCTTAATGTTTCTCTTCATAAATCAAAATAAATAAAATATTTCGTAATAATTCTTTGGGTACTAGATAAACAAAGTATTTTGAAATGAGTCACTTGGTACTAAAGAATTCGCGCTTTTCTTTATAAATCAAACTAAACGAAAAGCTTACATTACTTGAACTATATACATGTTTAAAAGCGATTGTTGTTTTAATATTTGTTTTAATAAACACAGAGTTAGCTATAAGGACTTATGCGATAACCGTTTCTCTTTGCAGGAGGTTAAGAACTCCGACTACTGCGAGTACATCCGACCGCCGATCGACAAGTACAAGACCCTGGCCTTCGGCAGCTTCGACGAGATCCGGGACGTGGGCTACGTGTTTGGGAAGAACTACTTCGAGAACATGGCCAAGGCGGGTCGACTGGGCCGGTTCAACCAGTGGTTCAACAAGGAGCCACCCAAGCGGGGCAACCACGCCTCCCTCAGCGAGTACACGTTCATCGATCTGGCGCAGATCGTGTGCCGGCTGCCGGAGACGTACGTTGTCAATACGGCGGAGCTCTTTAGCGAGGACGAAGACTGTGATGGCTACAACTCGGAGCCAACGACGCTCAACACGGTAGGTGCTCCACGATTCGGAGTGTCAACGGCAACGACGGGTTCTCTTTGATTTGTTATGTACATTAACATGTTTTTTTGGTTGTAATACAATTAATTATATGCTAAGAAGAAGCCAGATTAAAATTTGTTTTTTGTTTGCAATGATATCTAAAAACAATATTCCAACTTCTCTTTGCTGTTTTAAGGACATTCAAGATCACAAAGCAAAAAAACATGGCACACTTTATAAGTATTTTAACTAAATATGAAGAAGGAAAGTACAAGGCCAAAAAGTTTTCAAAAACGCATCATGCCTTTTTATTGGCATTGCTTTATTCTTTTTTTTTCGCAAATTTGGTCATGAAATTACAATATAATTGAATATTCTACAGTGAAACTGATTGATTGTAAGCAGCTCCAATTTGTAAGACAATAATATAAGGACAAATTATTGGATTCCAAACAGTTCGACTAACACATCAACTTCCCATTAATCTATTTTCGCACAGGATCGACGGCGCATCCAAGTGCCGCGTGCCGGCAACTCGTTGTCCTTCTCCGAGACCGAACTGGACTCGGACGTCGAGATCGACCTGAAGCTGGAGCGCAAGACGGACAGGGCCACTCAGTCGTCGCCGCCGACGTCCAGCAGGTCGGCCCGTGAAGAGGCTAGACAGATGGAGGACCATCGGCAGCATCGGGAGCATCGGGATCGCCATTGGCATTGGCACAATGACGCGATTGATGGCAGAGCCACGGCAGCTGCACACACTCTGACCGAACAGAACCAGCAGGATCACGTGGCGAGGACGGAACAGCAGCTGGTGGACAGGGATGAGGACAAGGAGAACCTGAGCAGCGCGAATAACGAAACCAAAAACTAGCTATATAGACAAAACCAATCGAGGCGGGGATATCTACTCAACAAAAGGCGACAGGAGCCACAAGCCGAGGATGACGAGGTGCCTTCCGCTTGCCAGACGCCCAAATGGCCAACTTCAGCAACCAACCAACCAACCAACCAACAAACTGCAACTACTCAATCATCCAATCTCCAACGAAACAAAACTAAATAGCAATGACAAGGAAATTTGTTAACCTCTAGGTTTTATAGCAACCAAGACTTAGGCTTAGCTTAGCATTTGGAATTATAACCCATTCTGCATCCTGCATCCTGCATCCTGCATCCCCTATCCAATCCTCATTCCCCATTCCCTCTACACATCCATTAACCCACACACAACACACTAAACACACATTGTAATGGAGGCACAAGAAGTCCACAAACTTTGTATATACATATAGTTATATATTTTTACTAAGGCAACCGATATTGTAGCCACGAAACTGAGACTCCTTTGCAATGAGAGCCCCCAACAAAGTCCCGCCCCCTGTTTGCCGCACACTTGTGTAGTCTCTCTATTATTTTAGGTGAGCAAATCGTTTGTTTAATGGTCGGATTTTTTTTGTAAGTGCAAGCAAATAAATTTAAACAATTGAAAGTACAAAAACCAATGCGAACTTGTCTTAATCTTGAATGGTATACTTCAGATCTAGTCATAGAAGTTTGAGAGGGTTTTCTTGGCAAAGACATCGGCGCCTGCTGACCGCCGCTCATGCGCAAAATAAAATCCGGTGGTTCGGATTGCGCTGGAGCAAATCGCTGAACCGCTTGAGGCGTCTGCCGATCCTGATCCACTCCTTCTTTTGGCGCTGATATGCCTGCTGCAATCGCAATGTATTAAATCGTCCCTTTTTTATCTGGTCTTACAAAAAAAAAAATTTTTTTTTCTTCCCATTTCTCCCAAGGGTTGTCGCCCCAAAATATTTTACATTGGAAATCTGTTATCCCTAGTAGACCGTTTTTTTTTTATACCCTTGCAGAGGGTATTATAATTTCAGTCAGAAGTTTGCAACGCAGTGAAGGCGACATTTCCGACCCTATAAAGTATATATATTCTTGATCAGCATCACTAGCAGAGTCGATCTAGCCATGTCGGTCTGTCCGTCCGTCTGTCAGTCTGTCCGTAAAATTAAAAATAAAAAAAAAATATAACTTAGCTGTTTTTTAATTTTTTTCTTAGTTCTTCGACATATAGTATTAGTTAATTATTTCAGAATTACGGTCTAAAATTTATCAAAATCGGACGACTATATCATATAGCTCCCATAGGAACAATCGGAAAAAAAAGAAAAAAAAAATTAAAACTTAGCTGTTATAATTTAATTTTAATTTTTTTGTTAGTTCTTCGACATATAGTATTGGTTAATTATTTCAGAATTACGGTTTAAATTTCATCAAAATCGGACGACTATATCACATAGCTCCCATAGAAATAATAAAAATATACAAAAAAACTATATAATAATTGAGCTGCAAGTCATCATAGCTTCAATGTTTTTCAACATATACGCAATTTTAATGTTTTCAAAAGTATTTAATTCTTGCAATAGCTGCAAGGGTATATGAAATTCGGCTTGCCGAAGTTTGCTTTTTTGCTTCTTTTTTTTTTGTCTTAGTAGGCCACTTTTGACAAAGTGACATTTGTGACAGAAAATTACTTTTTACTCGGCCTAGCAGCTGGAATTTCATTACTCAACAGAATTTTCATACGCACAAACCTTTATAAGGGATTAGCTCCCGTTCGATTCAACAATAATTCACCTGATATCTGAATACACAGTGAAATCGGTCTTGTATATTTGGCTATCCCAATCGTTTTTTACTTTTTTACGTTGGTGTTTTCACTTGATCTTCCTCGCCGAAATGAAGAAGCGTACTAATAAAAAAGGTAAGGAAAACATAACACTCAGGATTGGGGAGAATCTTCCCCTCGGTTAAAACATTTTTCACATCGGAAAATTGGCATACATATATAATATTTGGGTGCTTAATGTCAAAATGGGGCCTGCAAACGCAGTTAAAAAATCATATGAAAACATATACATATACAATACATATGCAAAGAAAAGAATTTTATAGCATTGAGGAAAAAAAGAAGAAGAAGAAGAAAGGGTTTTCATAAGAAGTTTCTTGCTCAATTTACCATAAAATTTATACTTAATTTGTTTTTATATACATATTTATTTTATTTAATCCCCGATCTGAAGTCCATAAAATAATAAGCTATAAAATTAAAAAAAAAACGATTTTTTTTATCGTTTCTTGTTTTTTTTAACCCTGCTCGAGCAGAAAAAATATGGTTTCTTGCTCAATTCAGTATACAAATGTTCCTAAATTTCATGAACCAATTCTATGAAATTTTCTTTTTAGGCTTTAATCCTTAGATAACTTATTTAATTGTATTTTATTTTTTTTTTAACAATTTAGGAGTGTTATTTTTTTTTTGTAATTTAAAAAATGCAGAATGATAATCCCTCTCATCCAACAGTGGTGAATAAGGTGACCGAGCCCCAGGTGAAGCCGCAGGAAATGAAGGATACTGTGGTCTTCAAGCGACCCAGGTACATGCCCAACCTGGGCAACCTGATCATGCCGAAGGTCGTGTTCGAGCATGAGCACCGAATTGTGATGGTCCGGCTGTTCCTCGAGGTCCAGAAGCACGATCAGAAAGCCACGGACTCCTTTAACGGCTGCCAGGTGCAGTGCTTCCAAGTGCCGAGCTACCTGTTCCCGCAGGATGCTCCGCTGCACCGGATCGCCTTCATGCCGTCGCAGCTGCTGCCGCCGGGCTTCGATGCGGGCGGTGTATTCGGCCCGGGCGTCCTGGCCCGACGATTCTATCCCCTTAACCTGCTGCCCGTCGACCTCAAGGGCCATACGCCGCCCCTTTTCGTGGGTCAACGCAGCCTGGATCCGCAGTTCTCGCCGGAGGTGAAGCGACTGATTGAATTCTCGCAGAATTTTCTTCCTGCAATGTCGCCTGATCTCCAGGCTTCCGCTGCTCCCGCGGCTCCCGTCGATCCGCCAGCTTCGACTTCTGCCGCTGCCGCTGCCGCTGCCGCTGCCTCTTCCGTTGCCGCTGCCTCTTCCGCTGCCGTTGCCACTGCCGCTGCCTCTTCCGCTGCCTCTTCCGCTGCCGCTGCCTCTTCCGCTGCCGCTGCCACTCCCAATCCGAAGAAGATGCCAAGGGTCAGCAAGGAGGTGATCAATCTGGAGAAGCGGCTGGCCCGCAATGACATCACCGTGGCCATGGTGATCACTCCGCCGCCACCACCGCCGACCCTGTCGCGCTATCCACTGCGCAAGATCTCCGAGCAGTATAACATATATGTGCCGGATCTGACCAATGTCCGGGTGGTTATGCCGCGCATCTGCAACCTAACGGTGGCCATTCTCTCCACGGTTATCCATCCGCATGTGCCCGCCGTGGCCTTTGCCACCATGGGCGACGACGAGGTGTGTCCGCGTTTTGATCTGCCCGAGGATCTCTTTCCAGCCAGCTATGCTTTGAAGCGTCCGGTCTTCCTGCCCAAGCGCAATCTGCCCAAAGGATTCGAGGCTTGCTGCATCTTCCGTCCGGGCACCCTGCCGGATGCCTGGTTCCGTGGAAGTCTCCTGAGTGGCACACCACAGCCCCAACATAGCGCCGTCATCACACCACCGCTTCTGGTGGGCAAGTTCTCCAGGGAGGAGAATGCGGTTCGTCTGCTTAAGGAACTCCAACTGGAGGCCGAGGGGCACAAGCACAAGCTCGAGCACAAGCTCGAGCACAAGGCGCCCGGCGTGGATGAGGCATCTGTTCGGGAATTGGAGCCATTGGAGATGCATAACAGACCCAAGGGCATCATTTTGCTGGTGACGGAACACCAGGCGACGCCAACCGAACGCATGACTTTGGACGAATTAGTCGATCCCTATGATGTCTTCAATGCTAACGCCTTTATAAAAATAACCCGAGATGATACCACTGGACAAGATGAACCAGAACCAGATACAGACGCTGGTAAGTATTTTATAATCAATTTAAAAAATATTTGTCGCTTTGATTTTCATCCATAGCGATATTTAGTTATTTTTATAAAGAAAAAAACGATTTTTTTTATAATTTCATTTGACTTTCATATAGATTTTAATATGTGCACATTTTCTTCCATACACAAAAGGTTGATTTAAATTGATTTAAAACAAATAGGACTTGTAAATGACATTAATTTAAATATTTGAAAATTAAATCATGCAATTTAATAAGTATTGTATTTAACCTTTTATATGGCATGAACAACGATAGATAAAATACTAATTTTGCCCTTTTTTAATAAAATTTTTTTTTTAACATCGCGAAATAATGAAATATTAAATTTTTGATTAAAAGTCACATATTTATTTTTACTATTACATTTTTTTTTTCAGAGGTGTGCGTCTGTTGCGGATCCCGATTTGTCCAAGAGGAAGGTAAAGTCAATGCCGCTGACGATGGCGAAGCCGAAGTCAAAGCCGAAGTCAAGCCCGAAGTCAAAGCCGAAGTTAAAGCCGAAGTCAAAGCCGAAGTCAAAGCCGAAGCCGGTGCCGAAGCCGGTGCCGAAGTAGAAACGGGAACAGAACAAGATACCGACTTGGATACTTCCGCATCCGAAGGCGGTTGCCCGGGAACCAAGACGACGTACCTCCGGTTCTTCAGTATCGATACCAACATCGATAAGCTGGCCGAGGCTGTGGGCGATGTGAGCAAGGCGCAATTGGAGCTGGTGCTCACCGATAATGAGACGCCCGATATCAATGTCGACCGCGCCATGGAGCAGCTACGTATGGTGCTCCAAACCCGGAACGAGATCCGCCTGGCTACCGCCCGGCAGATGCAGGATCACCTCAATAGAACGGAAACGGACCTCCGTAAGGTGCTCCACAAGAATGAGCGTGATCCCTGTTCGCAGTGCGCCAAGCACCACTAAATATTGCCATTATTCTACTAAAGAATGCTTGCAGCAATTATAAATTATTATCTACTTATATTCTCTTTTGTATTGATTTTTCAATTTTATTCAGGGTTTTCGGTTTGTCACTCAGAATGCAGCATGTTTACATTATCTTTTTTGGGTGTACTAGAGTACTAGGGGGTGTGTGTGTGTTTGTGTGAGTGTGTGTCTTGCTTTGCTGTGCCATTTAATCTCTTAAATCGTGTGTGTTTTTTGTTTTTTTTTTTTTTTGTAGTTTGCAGAGTAGTATTTTTTAGTTAGTCTAGGAGGCCAACTGAAACATCTAGATTTGTATAGCTAGCAAAAACAAAAAAAAAAAAAGGAAAAATGTGATATTTTAATATATAATTATACAAGATAGTGTATTTACAATTCGCAGCAATATTTTCCATGTCTTTTGTGTGTAACTCACATGCAATTGTTCTATAACTCGATGGAAATTCAAATACCAATTACTAGACAACCAGGTTTTATTTATGTTGAATTTCTAGAAAAACCTTATATATTAGTTCCTAGTCCTGCAACTCGAGTCATTGAAATATTAGCTAGTCTTTGCAGTTGTTCATCAATTTGATCGTTCAAACTGAGAACATTTGGATGTGATCAAGTTTAGGATTGAAACAATATCGTATTTCCCATGCAGCGCCGCCTACATAACGCACAATTGGTAAAAACTAATAACAAATTCACTCCCAATTCAGATAACCCTCTCCATCAATCATTTGTTTTTCTTGATGCTTTATGCTTCCACGCTCTTAATTACATAATATTTATGTGTAATGCGGTATATGCAAACTAATTTCTACGCAATTCACAATTCGCTTTTCGTTTATTGGTTGTTTTCTTTTTGTTTTTGTTTTTTTTTGTTTTTTTTTTGTATATTTTTTTTTCGTTTTTGTTTTGCATTAACTTTAGTGTATATGGTATTTATTTATATTAACTAATAATCGTTTTTCATTTTTTACATGCACATACTCATGAGGCCAAAGTTGACAATTGTTATATTGTGTATTATGTATTGTGTATCGTGTGTTATTTGTTATTTGTTATTTGCTTTCTTGCCTTTGTTTCCCTAAAAAAAAAAACCTATCAAGTTAAGGACTTAAGACTTAGTTTAGGTTGAACGCAATTAGAGAGACCCGCGCGGTGCTTACACTTCGGTTTCTTTCGGGTTTTTTTATATATATATATATATAAATATATATGTATATATTTATAAGTCGCACTAAATTTGTTGTTAAATATTTTGTTGTTGCTCGCGAGATTATGCGGATTTCTATATAAGGTGTGTGTGTGTGTGTATTATGCGATTCTCAGTTGAACAGTTTTGACAACAAAACAATCGAATAGCTGTAGTTTTGCATCCATATTTATAAGTATTGTTATATATAAAAATGTGTAATATCAATTAATTGCAAATTGCCGACGTTGCTTCTAAGTGTGTGGGGGTATGGATGGATGAATATATGGATGGCTGGATGAATTGGGGGGTGACCGTAAGCGAATACGGACGCAGACAGCGGACAGAACGTGACCTGGTGGTCTGGTGTCCTACTCCTACTCCTAAACGAAACTCGCTTTAACTTAGGGGACACATGGTTGGGTTGGGTTGGGCTTGGTTTATTTGGGTTTAGATGGGTTTGGTTGGGTTAGTATGGGCTAGTGATTGGAGGGGATGTGTGGTTGTGGGAATCTCGAGAACGAAGGGTTGACTGGTTCGACTAGGCGGGGAGCGGCTGGCGGCTGACTGTTGATTGTTGACTGTTTTTCGCATCCAATCCCATCTCAGATCTGGCCAACCAGCTCCTGGATGCTACGCAGTAGGTCTTCCATATTTCACAAGAGATCCCGATGGAACACCCAGGTGTGTTTTGTGTGAGCAAACTTATGGGACAGCCACTGCGACTCCAGCAGGTTGAAGCGATCTTGGCTCAAATACAAAGGTTTGCCGCGCCTGCAAAGGGTTTGGGTTTTAAAACGGGCTTGCTTAAATCATCTCTATCGCTATAAGATATAGCTATAAGATAACCGGCACAAACACTCACTTGAGATCGCGATCCTCCTCGTCGAAGTCGTCCAGATACAGCGAGCCCCAAAGGCAGGCGCGTCGTCCACGGATAACGATGATGTACGTGGAGGTGACCACCAAAAAGATGCCAATGCCGCCGCCACAGGATAGCGTATGCTGTTTATGGCCAGAAATTAAAAGGTGGATTTGATTAGATTCAAGTAATATTAGTTTAAATTAAATTGAACCCTCCAAAAAAATATACTAAACTGTTTTAAACGATAAATATAGTATCTTATAAAACATATTTTAAAAAACATTTTGGTAAAATGTTTATGAAAATTATTGACCAATGATATTAAATAAGATTGTTTAGTAAATGTAATTTCTCTGATTTTGTTTCTTTAATGTAATTTTTAAGGGAAAACCTTATTTAAAGTTTTAAGTTAGCCCCCTATACAGTCGTCTTGCTTTTTTGTATTTTAATGGTCATATCTTTGTCGATTTTGTTAGGATTGACTTTAAATTTTAAGCTAGGTAAACCTACAAACTTGTGCAATTTAAAAGCTAAATGTGGGGGGTACCCCTCTTAGTTAGCTTTGTGCAATTAATTAAACCCCAAATATATACAGAGAGCCAGCAAACTCACCCGGACAGCCTCGCAGCAGTCGTTCTCCGCACAGCAGTTCTGCTTGAGGCACACGATCTTCCCGCACAGCAGGCAGATGGAGCTCTCCTTGGGCACTTTGTAGCAGTTGAGGCAGGGTCGCTCATGGTAGTACTGCCCGGTGGAGTGGGGGGATATAGAGAAATCAGTAAATATATATATATATATATATGTATGAGAATAGCAATCGAAATCGTACCGTGAACAAGCGTTCGTACTCGCGCGGCAGCTCGAGCAGTCGCGGCTGATGCCACTGCGAGTGCTGATTGATGAGCACCAGTTCCCTGACCGTATCCGCCGGCGGACGCACTTCCATCAGCTGCTGGCACCAGAACTGCGGCAGCGTCTGCTCGGTGCCGGGTATAAAGCACAGGCCCTTGCTGGCATTGAAGCAGTCCCAGTCCATGGAGTCGGTGACCAGTTCCAGATAGTAGACGAGACGCACAAACTCCAATCCCGGGGCCGAGATCTCGGGCATCTCGTGGCGATACAGATGCTGGCGCAGCAGGGCAGCCACTCGCAAGAAGGGCAGACACAGCGACTGCAGATGCAGTTCCATGGACTTCAGATACACATCGTTCGGCGACGAGTTGCTTGATGCTGTTGCCGAGGTGGAGATGGACGATCCCGATCCCGATCCTGAGCTAGAGCCAGCACCTGCTGCCGCTGCCGCCGAGCTGCTGGTACTGGGTATGCAGTCCCTGCGCAAGTGAGCCAACTCATTGGTCTGACTAAGCACCAGGGCCATGGCCTTGCCCAGCTGCGAGGAGCTCTGCTGGTGGTTGCCACCGCGACGGCGATTATACGTGCCACTCGACTCCGGTTGCGTCTCCCCGCCGGCGGAAGTGTCACTGCTGCCGCTGCCGCTGCCACTGCCACTGCCGTACACTTTGAGAATGTGTTGGCACTCGAAGTCCGTGAGGGTGACGCATAGCTGGACCACAATCTGGTAGTACAGCAGGTTGTACATCACCTTCACCATGCAGGTGAAGTAATCTAAAGGGGGCAAGAGAAAGCCATTAGCATTCATGCATTAGGTAAGTAGCATATAGGGGAAAGTTGTTTTTTTCTTTTTTTATTTTTAAGCTGTACTATTTTGAAATTGTTGTGCCGATTTTCAAATACAAAGAAATTTAAGTCAATTATTCCACGAGTGCCATTTCTACATACTACAATTGAAGCTACCGAATAGATTGTTTTGAATATAGGCACAGTTTTATATTTATACATTATTTATTGGCTTTTTTTTTTTTAACAAAAAAATGTTTTTTTACCACTACTAAAAATAAAAAAAAATAAAACTAAAAATGAAAAAAAATGGCTTTGTGATTACCAAAAGAATTCTATAAACTTTTAATAGCAGTATTATTTATATTTCTGAGATGACCCAGTGATGCCCTAAATATATATAATGTGTAAATATTTTTTAAATATACATTTTTTTAAGATACTGAACATTACAATTTATATATTACCTGCATATATATTATAATTATAACAACGTTGTCAAATCAAAAAAAAACTAAACAACAAAAGTGTCCCTATTTGTTGCCTTAAAATGCCTAAAACAACAACATGTTGTAGCACTCACCCTGGTCGAGATGCAGTGGCGCCAGCAGGATGAACTTGAGCAGCAGTGCAATGGGATCCGCCAACAGGCTGGGAATCAGCTCGAGGCAGTGCGCCGGCAGGGGTTCCGTGTCGCTCACGGGCAGGCCGGCCAGCGAGGCCCAGCTGCTCCACAGCGGCCACTCGACCAGGACGCGCACATGCACGGACAGCACGTGCAGCAGCGGTACAATGCAGTCCCGCTTCGGCTTGTAGCGCGTGGCATTCGAGGTGCAGAGCGATCCGCCGCGCTGGATGATCTCCGCCTCCAGGTTGGTGCGTGCTATCGACGTCACAAAGATGAACAGCTTGCGGAACGTGATGGAGGCGCACTTGACCTTGCGCTGGGCGATGTTCGTCATCACCTCCATGGCATGGCCCATGGCCTCTGTCAGCTTTGTGGGCTGCTGAAAGTACAGATTGGAAGATTGGTATATGAAAGTTAAAGGCTTTCCTTCTCAAGTCAAAGGGGTTAAAGTCAGTCAATCCTACCGGTATCGTCTCGTTCTCCTTGATTAGATCGGTGAGGTCGGCAACGAGACGCTCGAAGGGCTGATTGCCGGAGCGGACGAGTTGCGTGGGCCTGTCCAGCTGCGGACTGAGCGGCAGCACCGAGTTGGAGAGCTGCCGGCACACGGGGCAATAGAACTCGCCGCGATCCTGCACCGGCTGCCGCTGGGTGGTGTACAGCGTCTTGAGGTACGCCTCCAGGCAGCTAAGATGCACATGATGGCCGCACGACTGCACGTGCACACCGTTGTCGTAGGCCATGTTGTTGGACAGATACCAGGACTCGTCGCCGAACTTCAGGCTCAGCAGCTCGGTGCGCCGGCTAAACTCGTGCGCCAGTCGCGTGGTTCGCTCCAGCCGGGACTCATCCTCCGCATTGAGCGGGAGCGGCAGTCGCTCGGCGATGCGCCGTCGGTGGCCCACAATGCCGCTCGATTCGACCAGGACGACCAGGCCAATGGGATTGGATTCCGTGCTGGGCGTGGTGCAGTTGCAAATGATGCAATCGTACTCCTTCTCGCGCGGCTGCTCCTCGTACAGCTCCTCGTCATCATCGTCCTCGGGACCGTAGTCCATGCTGCTGGCGGCCGCCGCCGCGGACTGCATGAACTGCTTCTGCTTGTTGGCAAAGTCCTGCATCATCTTCTGCTGGCGCTCGCGCGCCTTCTTGCGACGCTCCTCCTTCTCCTTGGTCTCGCGCGCCTTCGCCTCCGCCTGCTTCTCGCGCTGATTGGGCCAGAGCCGGGCCCGGATGTCGTCGATACTGACGGCGCATTGCTCGTCCTGCTTGGCGATCTTGCGCAACAGATTCCCAATGAAGAAGGGCCCGTCGCCGGTGCGTGAGGTGGACACATGGATGTTCTTGTAGTTGCGCCTGCTGCTGCTGCTACGTCCTCTTTCGGCCAGTGCCGTGCTCGAGGTGCTGGCCTCGTTGCAGTCCACATCCATGGAGGAATCCCCAGCAGTTGACTGCTGCTGTTGCTGCCGCCGCTCTTCGCCATCGCTCAACGAGAAGCTATCCAGCGTGCCGGAGAGCTGGGAGTGCAGCTTGAGCAGCAGCGACAATATACTCTCGTCCAGGTGCAGCTCATCCGTGTTGCTGCCGCCGATGGCAATGTCCACGGATCGCTTGCGTGCCCCGCCCGTCTCGTAGTTCATGCGGCGGCCAGTGCCGCTACCGCTCACGCCGGAGGCGAAGCTGCCGCCGGCACCCAAGGCATTCGAGGGCACAATGTCCATGTTGACGCTGCTGGGCACCGCGACGGGCTGGACCCGCTGGAAGGGCAGCAGCATGCCGCTGCCCGTGGGCGTGGTGGGCGAGAACATCTCGTTGGTGGCCACCGCGGGCGCTGTGACCGATGGATTGGCTCCGCCACCAGCTACGCCGCCGCCCACGCCTCCCATTGCGCCCATATTATTCGTCTCGGCCAGCAAAAGATCCCGCCGAATGGCCACTTCCATGCCGCTCTCCGGCAACGTGATCTGCTGCAGCGGAAAATGGAAGTCCAGAGCGGCCGCTGGGCTCATGTCCATGTCATGGTCGCCATCCCGCAGCAGCTCATCATCGCTGCTGTCCTGCCGGATGACCACGCCCGTTTCGGCCACCACCGAGAGATCCGGTGGCAGGGCCACCTCCATTCCGGGCACCCGCATCGGGACCAGGGCCTGCGAGACATTCCTTCGGCTGAGGGCTCCCGGGCCCAGGCCAACTGAACCGAGGGCTCCAGTTGCTCCACCCGTTGCCTCGTCGTTGCTTTCGGTGTCCACGTGACCGATCATGCGCAACGATTGCTCCGGATCCGCCTCGACGTCGAAGTCCAGGTCCGAGTAGAATGGATTCGAGCGGTAGCTGGAGGGTATCACCTGCGGATCGCGCGACTTGAGCGACACCTTCTTGACCACATGCCGCAGATTGCAGCTGAGATTGTCCGTGGGATAGCACTGGAAGAGCTTGGGCGGCTCCTGACGCCCCGGCCCGTAGCCATGATAGCCCGGTCCGCCCGAGGACTCCACCATGGCGGCCAGCGCGGGCGGAGCACGATCGCCGCCGGTACCACTGCCGCCCACATCCTCGCTCGTCTCCACCGCGATCTCCAGCAGGAACACGGCCAGGGCCAGCAGGTGCTCGGACACGTCACGCGTGTGCACGGCCCGGAACAATATGGACAGGATGGTGGAGTGAAAGACGCGCGAGTTGAGAATCTTGCAGGGATCGCTGAAGGAGCTGTTGGCGGGCAGGGCCTGCGGCAGGCGGAATGGTGGCCATAGGTTCCCACTAGCCGGCATCTTATCCTTGCTCTTCACGTAGTTCGTGTAGCGGTCCAGCGAGGACTGAAAGTCCCGCCGATGGACAGCCCGCAGGAGGACGTGCAGCGGATCGTAGTGCTTCTCCCACACCTCGTCGATGGGCGTGAAGAGACCCTGCTCCAGATTCTCGCTCCCACTCGATGGGGCCTTGTACACGGATAGCTTCTTGAGGAAGGTCTCGAAGTTCTTCGTGTGCACATTGCCCGACCGCTCCGGCATCAGTTCGAGGAGCTGCGAGTGCGTCTTGTTCTCGGTGGCCAGCAAGGCACTGATCTCGATGATGCACTGGGTGGCCTCGTCGTTGCCCAGGTTCGTGCGACTCGTCACCAGGGTGGCCAGGAAGGTGAGGAACCCCTCCAGCATCGAGGATTGCTCCGCCTTCTGCGGCTGCTTCAGCGGGGCCGTCTCCAGCCACTGGCCCACGTCGAACAGCTCGATGGTGTTCTGCAGGAAGAAGTACTGCGGCAGGTTGGTGGCGCAGATCTGCAGGAAGAACAGGTCCATGTCCGCCATCGAGTTGCAGAAGTTCGCCTGGATGTAGGTCATCGCCTGGCCCTTGATCTGCAGCCCGTTGCGCACCCATTTTCCGGCCAGGATCTCGTAGAAGAAACTCTGCAAACGGCAGGAATATAAATAAATAAATTAATATTATACGTCTACAACTAATTAAGCGTAAACAACAAGTTTTAAACGTATTGTTTTGCAATAGACAATTTAAATTCTTTAAAAATTGTATTTGTCATTCATTATCGACCCTACATTTATAGCCTTGAGCCGGTTTACAATATTTTAAATACGTAAATGTTTATAAAACAACCAATAAACATATGATTGAAATTAACATTTTTTATCGGTGCCAAATTTGTAGATAATGTTCTTAAATTTTAAACAAACATACATATAATAATATATTCAAATAAATAAACTATTGAATGGAAATAACGGTACACCATGAACCGCGATAGCCGTGACACATCGATGACACATCCGATGAGTTATCGAAACACGTTTCGAAAAGTCAACTCTGAGCCTGCCAGCTAGCTAGCTCTCGCTCTCGCTCTCACTTATGCTTTGACCTATGCTACCGCTCTCCCCGTCTTTCTCCCACCAGCCAAAAAAGAACCGCAGAAACAAAGAAAAAGAGCATTTCTTCATATATGTGTGTGTACGAGACAGGGTGTCTGCAAGCGGTAAAAAAGAAAAAAAAATAAAAAGAGAACAAGACGAATAAAACCCACATCTGTTAGTTTCTTAATCAATTTCGGAGGCAGCGAGAGCAGAGCAACGAAGCCGATTAAATCCAATCCCAGAAACTCGACGCTCGAGACTAAACTCAACTCTCTGTTTTCATGGCGGTCGCATTCGCGTTTTGATTTTCAGCTGGCGCAGTTGCGTGTCAGCCTGCGTGTGTGCGTGTGTTTGTGTGTGTAAACAATTTTTGTATAGGCGAAATTTAATCATAATATTTAAAAGGCAACCCCCATCATCTTTTGATCCCCACCGATCGGATTCAACAAATAAAATCCAAAATAAATATACAAACACTCGAGTAACACACACGCATAGCTGCATCTGCAAAATGGAATTTATGAAATGGGGACTTCCCCTGCTGCTGGCCACTCTGGTGGCCCTCCAACAGCCCACCCAAACGGAGGGACTGATCGAGGATGTCCTGGACATCATCCACGTGGTCAAGGAGGTCACCTCTGGGGTCCTCAAGGCCTGGGACATTGTTCAATCCTCACCACTGGCGGCCAACATTGATTTTCCCCTGATGCGGGAAAAACAGAAGAAGGTCTTACAGCGACTGAAAGAAGTTAGCAAGCAAATAGATCACACCGAAGATCAGGTGAGTCAGCGGGTCAAAACCAGCTCTTTAACTCTCTTTATACCCTTGCACTGGGTATTACCATGATGGTATGGTTTTAAGTTTTTTTTTTTTTTATTATCGAGTTTTCTAATTATCGTAACTGCAAGGGTATAAATAATTTCATTATTTTCAAAGCTATGATTAACCTCCAAAAACCCACTTCAGCACGCTCAATATGTTGCCTTGGCCATCGAATCGGTTACTACTTTCATGCACAACAACGCTCCAATTATGGCCAAGATGAATGATATCTCAGACACTATTAATAGGATCTCATCGCGCTATCAGCAGATGCAAAAGTACGAGGCTTACAAAGATAAATTGGAAATGTCTACGCTTATAACATTTGCCGAATGGACAGTTACACCAAATGCCCATTCAGTGCACCATCTAATGGATCGACTGCATCTCACACTTCTCGGCAGCGAGGATAGGACGTCCAACGTAACGTCCAGTAACCTGCTCCAACAACTGACCACCGCATATGAGGTAATAAAGACTGACTTTTAAATGTTATCTTCTTTACAGGTCGAATTTGTGGGGGATTTAAACTAAAATTAGATTTTTGAGTACTATACAGAAAAAAGCCACATTTAGTATTACAACTATAAAAAGATAGAAGAAAGTCACAAAAAAGACAATATTTTCTAGGGTGGTTTGAATGCAAACACGTTCCACTGTGATAATACGGATCGTGAATGGGGTGTCAATTGCGAATTGCTTCCTGCATGCCTGCTAACCGGATGATTCACGAATGATGCTCTCCGGTGGTTTGGATATATGTAGGTCTAGACACAGGGTTTTAAGCTTTGTAAACTCGACTTTCCGGTTGACGCGTCACTTAAATCTTCCGTCTTTTCGGCAAAAGAAAGTCTTTCAGTGTATTAGTCACCGTTTCTTTTGTCGCCAAATAACGGTTAAGGCCTCCACACGCACTCTCTCAAAATGCTCCCCCTTTTTTTGTGCGGGTGTATGTGTGTTTGCGTGAGGTCAAAGGTCTTGTGTCAACAAAAGACTGCGAAACAAGTTAAACAAAAACAAAAATCCACAAACAAACGTCTGAGGGCAATGCAGCATGCCCCCATGCTGTGAACAGAGAGCAAGGAGAGCAGAGAGCGCATCTCTTTGTTTTGTTAGTGCATTGCGTCAAAGAGAGAGTGTTGGAACAAGTGAGAGCTGCTACGCACTCTCAGCTGTTTGCCATACCAATTAGACAACAAAAACAGTGCGGGCACAACTTTCTAGTTATCGATTGCACCTGGTTTGCATGTGCCAAAATGATCGCCATCGATTTTATAATTAAGCTCGCCCTCTTTGTGTAAAGTGTAGTGTATTATTTCAGTCTATGCTACCGAAGAATCAAACAAAATTTGCTCAAATCGTGATTGTGCTGTTTCACACATACCTTAACAGTTGCTTATGTGTGTGTGTGTTTACGCTTCTCACATTCGTCGAAAGAACAACAACAATGCTCGAAAAAAGAGCTTCAGTCAGCGATTTTTTTTATTTCCAACGAGCACAGCACACACTAATACACAAACAGTCGCTGAGCGTGGAGCGCTTTAAAACAGAAACTGAAAAATTACAGTAGCCGAACAGCACTCAGAACAACAACATCCAGCTGAAATTATATGGCAAGGGGCGAGCGCGAATTAAAGTAAATCGCAAATAATAAAAAGTCGTGAAATCTGTTAATCGGGAATCCTAAAAACGGGATTCTTTGTTCCAGTATTGTAAAGCAGTTGAAGGAAGTCGTACTGCAAGCAAGCAGTACATGCTACTCTTGCCCTTCCAACTAGAACCTAAAAAGTTGAAGTAGAAGAAGAAGCAGAGGAGCTCAAGGCTGAACAATTTGGAAATTTATCCCAGGAAATCCCCGTTTAGTTTTATATTCGCTGGGCGGATATAACTTATCGGGCGAGTCAATATGGCGGCGCCTATCGCAACGTTAGCTGCTCTTGTTGTTATTATATTTGTGATTTGTGGAACGAAATCGGCATCGGGCGAGGGATGGATGCACCCACGCATCCCACAACTGGAAGTGGACGCCATGCGTACGGAGTATATTGCCCTGGAACGTGCCTTATGGGATTATCTGGCCAAAACGGCCGATAGCCAGAACAACAAGGAAACGCAGATAAAGAAAGTATACGATTCGCATCTGGATTTCGATGCGAAACCCCAAATGAGTCGCACCTTCGAGGAGCATCGCTACGAGGTCCTCAATCACTACGAATGGTCACTGCTGGAAAAGGATCTCATCTATATCAGCAAGCTATACGAGGCCTACAAGGTATTCTGCCTCGCACGCTGGACATTATATTCCGGAGAGATTATAATCACTCATACTCCTCTCTACATAGGAATCCTTTGTCAAGCAGAGCAACAGCGCGCAACTGGATGAACTGGCCATTCTGAATCTCGCCCGGGAACTCCTGCGCAACGATAATACCATCTCAATGCCACGCATCCTGCAGGAAATTGAGCGAGTGATGGTTCAACAGACCCTCTACTACCGGGCCATGATAGTTAGTTAACCAATCAAGTGCAATAACAGATCGGTTTGATATAGACACGAGCAGGTCCACAGATATATCACATTTTATTATCATTTTTAGAAGAACAGGTCCTTTGAAAAAAAAACTATACCCAGCTACTCAAACCCCTCATTAATTTATAATTAAAATAATCTAAACATCATCCAATTCCTTTTACACCGAACACAAAAATTCCCAATTTTTTATACAACACCCAGGCAAATGCTTATCTTACACACCCACGCGATCCGTATTTATATAATAATACTAAAGGTATGTCAGCGATTTTAACAGGCAGATGTGACGGCTAATTAGAGCTAAAAACAAGAGTTACAACAAAAGCAACTAAAAGTGGCATACATTTTGAAGTGTGAACAGTAATGAATGCCAGGGGGTAAACCTTAAAACAGTTGGATATTAACCATATTAATGACATTCCCAATAATGCGACAAATTTCTTGCTTGCAGGTGTCGAACAATCAGATTTGCAATACTCTGCAATCCGCCCAACAGTTTGTGTACTCCCTATATGCGGATATAGCCCTGACCGAACTGAAGGCCTACACCATGATGGAGTTCTCGTGGATGATGTTGCGTGTCTACGGCAAGGGCAACTACACCCAGGAGGCGGAACTGATGCGATCGGACTACGAGAAGAGGACGGAACGCACACTGAAATTGCTCAAGGACGTGATGCTCCGGGCGGATCGTATCGTTTATCGCTGCGATCCGGGGAAACATGTAAAGGGTGTCACCTACGACGAGGTCACCCGGCTTTTGCAGGGCTATATCGAAAACGAGGTGGATCTGAATAACGAGGAAACCTGCCGAGAGACGTGCTCCTTCTACCAGTCCACCCGCAGTGAGGGCTGCTTCAAGGAACTCTACTGTGCCCGCCAGCCGAGATGTTCGGGTCGTCTCTACGACTGCCAGTTTGTCGACTCCGACATGTGGGTGTGCCCGTCGCCACAGAACAGCACCAGGCGCTACGAGTTCATCGAGTACGAGAACGGACGCGTCCTTGGAAAGCGGGGTAAATGCACCAGGGGCACCACCAAGGTGGACAGCTGGTGGCGTTACCTTCTCTGGCACTGCAGCTACTGCTTCTGCCTGTGCGATGAGCAGGGACTCAAGTCGGACCGATTCTTCAACCTGCGGGATACGATCGCTGACGTGAAGCGCAACAGGTAAGTTATCGTTATGTTATACAATTAACAACTTTTAAATCCCAATTGATCTTTCAGAATCGTGACTGGCTTGCGTTTTGTGAAGAAAAACCGCATATTCCATCTGCAAATCCAGGAGGGCGAACTCCTGCCACGAGGCGCCGTCAATCAGAGCACCTTGGAGTGGAAGCCCGTGGAGAAGTACAACTTCTTTGATCGTGATGTCAAGAAGGGCGTCGACTATCACATGTTGAGCTACGAGAGCCGCTCCATCGATCTGGACGATGTAAACACGGATGACAATAGCTTTGTGATAACCGGTGTTAGATTCCGAGTGGTGGGCGCCCATCTGAATCTAGAGGCCTACTACAGCGAGTTCGACTTCAAAACGGGCCAGCTCATTCAGCCGGAAGCTAATAGCTATTGGAAGTCTAACGATAACACCGATGTCAGCGGGGCACGCAGGTGAGTGATCTTTTCCTGGATCATGAAAAAATTACTTTAGCTCTGGGGTTTATTGTTCAGAGAGAAACTGCGCTTGGAGAACGCCGACGTGTCTACGCGGACAATCACCCACTCGATACCTCTGTCGCGACACAATCAATACATTGACTTCACCAACACGGGACTGGACAAGGATGCCGCCCAGAGCACTGTGCCCTTCATTGACATCCAGGACGTGATCTCGAACCCACCTGTACCACTATCCGGCATTGGCATCTACTACAAGGGCCGCAACGGCTACGGCGGCTTCTTGGGCCCCAAGCTCATCACCTACGACTATACGCCTCACGTTCAGGTGCCAAAGAATAAGTTCTAAGGTGGATGGAGTGGGAGAGGCGGTGCTGTTTCATCCCGCACATATGTCATAGCTTTCTTAGTTGTACACTACCTATCAATACACACTTGCAATTACTTTCGCGTAGTCTAAGTGAGATCGAAGAAGAACGAAGCGCAAGAGACGCAGAATTCGGCAAGACAAGAATATAACTTAAATTATATTGGAATTTAGCCATAAAACAAGAAACAAATAAAAAGAATCTGAATCGGAAAAAACACTAAAAATAAAAACCATATGTTCTATTCAATACAAAATGAAATTAGAAAGGAAAAGGACTCACCTGGACACGCAGTGGATGGATCATCAGCAAGGGCAGGAGATAAGGACGTGAGGGCAGCACGTCGTTCAGACTGATTCCCATTTTTGTGACCGCCTGGCATACAAAAGCGGCTAGATATCGATGCAGCGGGAAGTGGAACGAAGCCTGCATCATCTCCTCCTGCAAGGATAAATCAAAGTATTTTAAATAAAGATGATTTTCCGAGTTTAAAATTAAGTGTAGTTAAGATTAGTTAAAATACAATTACAAAACAATTATTAATTAAAGCCAGCCCTTTAGATTTTCAAACTTAGATGTAAAAAAAACACCCACCATCGATAGACGCGCTTCCATGAAGTAAATAGAGTCCAGCCACTCGTGAAGCGTCGTCACGCAGTAGTTGATGATCTTTTTGGCCAGGTGGGCGTGTGTTCCATCCTGCAGATGCGATATAATCGACCACATGGGATAGGCACTGGCCTCCAGTTCACAGGAGAACGCCGCATAGTAACTGTTCGGCTCGAATTCCACATGCGAAGCCGTCTCCCGCACATTGACATTCATGCCCTGGAGCATCTGCAGGAACTGGAACCACATATCGATGAGGTTGTCGTCCCTCAGAAAGACCAATGCCACCGATTCGTGCGACAAAACGTTGTTGAAGTCCGAGACTAGCGGCCAGTAGCAGTGGTCCTTCATCACCTGTCGCGTGCAGTCGATGACAAAGTGGAAATTCTTGCTGGGATCTACAGGGAAACCATATTTAACTTAAGAAATGGAAGAGGTACGAGGTTACAAACTAAATCTCACCATGCAGCGTATTCTGTATGAGTATCTTGGACATCATCAGCTTTAGACTGATGATCATCACGTGCAGCAGCGACAGTTCATTGACCATCTTGAGGGCCAGACTTTCGTTGGAGAAGAGCTGGACGCTCATATGGACCACCCGGTTACTTAACGTGTCCGGATCGCGGGACATCTCCAGCACGGACGGTATGCGGCTGTAGTGCATCACAAATGTGCGGGTGAGGTGTTCCTTTTGGGGGAGGGGGGAAAAGAATAAACATTACAAGTTCGAAAAACCATTCTATTATGCCATCTGCACTCACCTTGTAATCCTGATCGGGGAGCATGTTGAGCAGGAAACAGACTAGTGTCTGTGGGAACTCGAACTTGAATGTCCAGAATATGAACTCCTCGAGCAACGTGGTGTGGACCAGTTTGTCGCCGAGCGCCGGCAGATCCCTGTACTCATCGGGCGGCTCTGGATTTGGGAATCGGTTCACAGCATCCTCATACTTCTCCCGGTTCGCCTTCAAGAAGCGTCCATTCCGTGTGTCCTGGCAAGGCGCCTCCATAAAGTAAGCATATACCTCCGGATTGATCAGGGTACGCGTCATCACCTTGCGCATTATCTCGCCCATGTTGTTCAGATCGATCAGCATGTTGGCGAACTCCTCGCACGAGTACGGCGTCATAGCGTGCACGTGGAGCGTGGTGTCGCTGTGCTCGCGGAAGTGCTGCAGGAGGCGAAACAGCAGCTTGGGCATTATGGCCTCGGCCACCGCCAACAGATTGTTGGGCACCGGGTCGCGGTTGACCCGGTTGTTGATGCCGTGATCGCTGCAGAAGCCCTCCGCCTTCATCACCGAGGTGTCGCCACAATCGCAGGCACCGCCCGCCTGCGACAGGAACATGTTGAAGTCGTGGTTCGTGTGGTTGCCCTTCTTGAAGCAGTCGCGGCAAATGGACATGCAGGGCGAGATGCCGCAAGTGCGGCACCTATACGCCACCACATGGGGCACCCAAACCAGTCCGCACTTGGCGTGGTTGTCATAGCTGCGCACTGCAAAATTAAATTTAAAATTTTTTTAAAAATTGTAGGAATACCAAAAACAAGACATAAACACACACGCCCAATTTGTAAAAAAAAAAAAAGCAGCAAGGACATCTCTTCGACCCCAGATACTACAAAGTTAACATGTTTAGCCAACTGATACATTCACAGTCACTTAAAAAGTTATAACTTTACTTTGTATTTATGTTTAGGGGGTAAACCTTGGGCCAACTATTGATTTTCTTAAGTGTGATGGCTCTTAGACGTACATATATCAAGAAAGCTATTCTGATATTCTGTGCAATTTATTTAAACGAGTTTCAATAGCGATGCATGCAAATAAGTATGATTATTTTTAGAAATCATATAAAAAAATTAATAAAAAATGTATGGACATTTAAACTGTTTTTAATACCGCAAGTTTTAAATATTTATAACTAACAAGAACAACACGCCTTAAAATTATCCAATAAACACTGAAAAAATTAATTTTGACCCATATTATAAGTTGTTTCAACAACCAACATTTTTAACGCGTTCCCGAAAGATTTAACTACAATCAAAACTTGAATCTCATTCAAACAGTGATTTTAAAGAACCTCTTACGGCTTTTAAAACCAAACCATGATGAAATACTACAAACATTAATAAAAAAAAATATTTTCTAGATTTTTCCATCCAAAAAATCATCGAAATAATCGCTCGACTGCAAATGTTGATGCCACATCTAAACGCCAAACGATAAGTTATCGCACAAACGAAAAACCTGTCGAGGACAGCTGTTTTTTGTTGGCCACTTTGTCATTGCTTTATTTTATTTTCTGGCTGCCTTGCTATTGCTATTGATTTGATTGAGTTCCAAAAATAAAATGATGCACTCATTGCTTAGTTAATTTCGCTTGTTGCGTGACTCTTTGATTCTTTGTCTTCTGGGGCGTTTTTCGTTTGGACCTTGCTAGCTTAAAAGGTCAACGTTGTCGGCCGCCGCATGCGGAAGGAAATCACTTGGCAATTACAACAAAAATATGGCTAAAACGCAGTGCAGCGACAAGTTGATTGACAATTTAAATGGCGATCGATCGACAGACATGTTGGCAACTCGCTCTCTCTCTCAGCCTGCTCGGCCACCCGCGCTTTCCTCCCTTTCTAACTGAGAACAGAACTTTTGGGCAAGGTCTGCGGGGGAAGCAACGGAGAGGGGTCGAGGTGATATGGGAACGGAAAGAAGGTGCACTCTCTCACCCTCACCCACACCAGCGCAACAGCATAACGGTCTGTCGGTCAATTACCGATGACAACTTACAGTGGGCCACATCACACTTAACCACCCACTTAGCTCCACTGTGCGTAAGCGACAACATGTTGGTGTGTCAATCAACAGCAATGACGGTCAATCAACTTTTGCCGCAAGAGTGCAATTTTGCAATTGTTCTGCACTTCGTTGCAACAGAGTAGCGAAAAACAAAAAATAGGAGCACTTGGCGGTGACAAAAGGTGCCAGCGCACGTAAACAAGCCCCTGGGCGCTGGTGTGCGTGTGTTTTTGGGACGGATGCTGCGGAAACATTTATTACGCAAGGCGAACCGAACAGCTGACACACAGCCACAAGGTGCAAGTTGCATTCCACTGTGCGTGTGCGTGTCTGTGTGTGAGCTGACAAGTGGGACAAACAACCATAAACGATAAAAGCAACTTTGGCGACATACGCAGCCTGGCACAAAAAATAAGTAATCATAAAAAATATGCACAAATACAGCCATTGCAAATAGATGAGCAGTTGAGATTAAATTGGGCTAAAGTCGACTAAAGTTGACTCCCCTAATCAGTAGGTGTGTGTGCGCGAGCGAGAGCGCTTGATAGCTGTTGCCATGGTGGTGCACTCATCGCACTCGCACTCTTCACGCCGCCTTGCACCTTGTTGTTATGCTCTCTGCCCCTCTACATCTCTCTCTCCCTTTTCCTTGCGTGCCCTACAACCATTACACACATATACACTTCATACAGGTATTTCACACGAACACACATACACAACACACACACACATGCAGATTTTCAGGGGCAACGGACTTGCGATCAGCTGTTTGCGATAGGAAATGCAACACATTTATCGATAGACGTACCAATTTTAACAAACTCCTGCGGCGTGCGTCCGCCGGCAATAAGCCATCGTATCCACTCGATGTTGTCCAGATTGTCGATGGGCGTGCCCGGATTAAACAAGGTGTCCATTATGGAGTCGAGATCGGGCGTGGGGCTGCCGCGGCAGCATTCCGTGTTGATCAGGGCGGCCACTTCCTTGCGACTGCGCAAACTGAAGGACGAGGCGCCAAAAAAGAAGAGGCTCGGCTTGGCGCCAGCATCGCCAGTGGACGACGAGGAGGTGGAGGAGGCCGGATTGGTGCCAGATCCAGCTGCAGGGGCTCCCCGAGGCGGTGGTGGCGGCGGAGCACCGGCCGCCACACTGGAATCCCAGTCGTGGAAGGGGGAATGTGAGTTATCGGTGGCTGCAGTTGTGGCTGCAGCTACTCCTGCTCCTGCTGCTCCTCCTCCTCCTACTCCCGATGATCCTCCACTGGTGCGCACTGGACGAGGTGGTGCTCCGCCACCTATCGCGTCTATGGTGTACGTCCTCTGGTACACCGTGGAAAGATCCACATCGGACGACTCGTCCTCGTCCTGGTTCTGATCCTGGTCATCCTGCTGCATGGCCTCGCGCGCCTCGTCTTCATCGATGCTGATGTCGGCATTGGACAGGTTGTCATCCTCGTCCATGGTGATGCGTATATTTGGTGACGTCGCTTGTGCTCCGTTCCTAGCACGCTAAAATTCTCGAAACTCCGACTCTTTTTCTTCTTCGGTTCGGCCTTTTTCAAACAAGTTTTCTTTTCTTTTTTTTCGGTTGCTGCTGCTGCTTCTTCTTCTCTGCGTGATTTTTTTTGTTGTTTGGCTACTAGTGGCCGAATTTTCGATTTTTGTTTATGGCGGAGTTGCGTTCAATTGAAAATTTTGATGGGGGGAATCAATCGCGGGGAGATTACGATTGCGGGGGGAATTCCGAGCTGGAGACGGAAAATTTCACAACACACAGAACACTTGACTCAGTGGAGCGGCTTTGACATCTCAGCTCCGTTCCGTTCCTGATTTTCCAACTCTCGACGTCGCCCGACCGACCTACTGTGGTGCGGTTGGCTATATGGACAATATCTTCTATATCCCCATCGTCCGCATCCGTGTCCGGATCGAGTTCTTTGGCTGGGCTGCCCTTTTCCCGATGTTTCGCTCACTTTTCACGCTGTTTCATCCGCGAGTCTTGCAAATATACGAGATACGCACACATACTCGTCGCGGCCACACAAACACGCACACACGGACAGCACACACACACACACGAGCGCACGCACACTGGCAAGTGTGGCCAAATATATTAGTCGTGCATTGAACTTGCCAATTACGCTGATTTTTGCATATTAATCGGTTGTTAGGGGACCTCTTAGCTGGCTAGTTAGTGTTCTTGGTGCGTGGGCAGCCCTCTAGCCGCTGCCTGTGCGTTCGCGAATGCTTTTAATCCTGCCAATTTCGATTTGCTCCACGAATCCACATACAGTCGTTCGTTCGCGTGTATGTGTATATGAATTTCTTCCAGTGTGACCGCGCTGCGACTGCTTCAAATATACTGAAGTGGTCGAGCGGGTCTATCGCCTATCGATAACAGCCGCGAATGTTGCCACTGGTCAAAGAACCCACCTGAGGGCAACCAAAACAAGCCATTTCCACTGCATTTCCATTTTTTATTCTATATTTATGCTGTAATTCATAGTATAAAAAAATAACGCATGGCCAAAACAATCAGGCGTACATTTTTACAGACGACGACCACGGCGACCGCCCTTCCTGCGGGTAGAGTCGGATGGGATGGGGGTCACGTCCTCGATGCGGCCAATCTTCATGGACGAACGGGCCAGGGCACGCAGAGCGGACTGAGCACCGGGTCCGGGGGTCTTGGTCTTGTTGCCGCCGGTAGCGCGCAGCTTGATGTTCAGGGCAGTGATTCCCAGCAGCTTGCACTTCTCAGCCACGTCCTGGAGGGGATCACAATGGGTTAGACCATCTTGCGGGTGATAATTCAAGGGTAACTCACCTGGGCAGCCAACATAGCGGCGTAGGGCGAAGCCTCGTCACGATCGGCCTTCACCTTCATGCCTCCGGTGACACGGGCAATGGTTTCACGGCCGGACAGATCGGTAACGTGCACGAAAGTGTCGTTGAAGCTGGCGTAGATGTGGGCCACTCCGAAGACGATCTCGCCCTCGCGAACCTGGGGGCCCAGCTGGACCTGCACCTCCTCCTTCTGAACTTTAGCCTTCCTGGGAGCCATTCTGGATCAGCAGCTGGAATGGACACAAAAACATTTTGTTTAATTGCCGACTTTAGTCACAAAATTAACACAAAAAAAAAAACAGAAACAAATTAATTCTGCCGCATCCACACTGTGCCAACGAGAATTGTCTATATCTTATATTTTTTCAAAGCAATCTGCCGAAATTCAATAAAATTACAAAAGTAACTGGGAGAGAAGAAACCAACCAATTGAGTAAACAAAATTTAACACGCTAAATCGTTTTTGGCGACTAAATATTAATTTGCCAGTTAAGACCACGTTTCTCCGGATGAGAAGCGGAAAAGAAAGAGGAAGAGGCACTAGAGGTGGGCATGGAAATTAATGTAGCTGCATTGGCCTGTCGCCTTTTGAAGATCTGCGTCGAGTGCACTAGCTGCAACATTGTTTCGTTCTTGTCGCACAATTCGCAAATTGCATTAAAATCACAAAAATAAAGGGGGGAGAAAATTGCAACGAACCAATTCGTGAACCGGATACGAAAAAAGAAAGCAAAACCAGCACAGCTGCTGAGGCGATAGTTATCGGAGGCAGGGCTGCTTTTGCGGGTCTATCGGGCTGCCACTGCGCAGAGTCGGCACAAAAGTGTGGCAACTCTGGCGGCTTAAAACGGGCAGAATTTGTAAACATTTCGCCAAAAACCTTAATTTTGCACTTATTACTCCGTCGATGCAACCCAAGATAGAACCAAAAACATGCACAACTGTCTTGTAAACATTTACATCATATTTCCTGGTTTATTACAGTGCATCTATGCACACAAACAGAATAACTTTCTTGTCATATACACAAATGCAGTAGTTTGACCAAAAACAGGGACTCCATCTGCCTTCCAGATTCCTCCATTTGGCCATTTACAGACGACGACCACGGCGACCGCCCTTCCTGCGGGTAGAGTCCGATGGGATGGGGGTCACGTCCTCGATGCGGCCAATCTTCATGGACGAACGGGCCAGGGCACGCAGAGCGGACTGGGCACCGGGTCCGGGGGTCTTGGTCTTGTTGCCGCCAGTGGCACGCAGCTTGATGTGCAGGGCGGTGATGCCCAGCGTCTTGCATTTCTCAGCCACATCCTGGAGGGAATCACAATGGGTTACACCATGCTGCGGGTGATAAGTCGAGGGTAACTCACCTGGGCAGCCAACATAGCGGCGTAGGGCGAAGCCTCGTCACGATCGGCCTTCACCTTCATGCCTCCGGTGACACGGGCAATGGTTTCACGGCCGGACAGATCGGTAACGTGCACGAAAGTGTCGTTGAAGCTGGCGTAGATGTGGGCCACTCCGAAGACGATCTCGCCCTCGCGGACCTGGGGGCCCAGCTGGACCTGCACCTCCTCCTTCTGAACCTTAGCCTTCCTTGGTGCCATTCTGGGGATGTTTGTCGATCAGCAACTGCGGGAATAGCAAGGGAAGGCACATTTATACCACACTGGCATTTCACACAAACAAAAACAATGGCGTGCGCACAAACAAAACAAAAAACGTAAAAAAAAGTGTGCTGCCGGGCAGCTTTTCATTGGTTTTCAGTCGGCCCATTGAGCCCGTCTGAGCGGAACACATTTTCGGGGTCTCAAAAGGGCTCAAATCCGGGATTTTAACAAAAAAATTGAGGGGCAAAAGTTTAGAACGAACCACTTGCGTGAACCGGATATCAAAAAAGAAGGCTGTCGTAGCTGTCAAAATGACAGGGTTGCTGAGTTGCCCAAAATCCGGCGATAGTTATTCGATAGGTGTATCGGGTGCGGGTGGTTGCCATACTACTATAATAGGTTTGTGTATGTGCTAAGGTTATATTTGGTGTCATTATTTAGGAACTAAGAACTGGCCACACCGGTCAAATGGTTTGAGTTCGGGCTGCAATCACAAGACACCCAAAAAAAAAAAACAAAGTAAATAAATAACATAAATATATCCAATTGCAAGCGAACAAGCTAAAGTCCCAGCCAAGCGGCCATGTCGTGGGTCTCCGACTACAAGTACACCTGGACGGAGCGGTTTGCGATGCGGACGTTGCGCGCCTGCGGCCACATTCCGCACCACGTCGCCTTCGTGATGGACGGCAATCGTCGGTTCGCCCGCTCGCAGCAGATAGATAAGATTGAGGGACACTCGCGGGGCTTCGAGAAGCTGGCCGACTGCCTGCGCTGGTGCCTGGACATCGGCGTCCGCGAGGTGACCACCTTTGCCTTCAGCATCGAGAACTTCAAGCGCTCCAGCGAGGAGGTCGAAGGTCTCTTCAACCTGGCCCGCGAGAAGTTCGCCCGCCTGCTGGAGGAGACGGCCCGCCTGGACGAGCATGGCATCCGCATACGGGTCATCGGCAACATCGAACTGCTGCCGCTGGACCTGCAGAAGCTGGTGGCCTCGGCCATGCTCAGCACGGAGCGCAATGACAAGCTCTTCCTTAACGTGGCCTTTGCCTACACGTCGCGGGACGAGATTACGCAGGCCGTAGAGACGGTTCTGCGGCACGGCTGCCAGGATCTGGCCGCCGAGGACATCAGCGAGCGACTGCTGGAGGAGTGCCTCTACACACGGCATTCGCCGCCACCGGATCTGGTGTTCCGCACCTCCGGCGAGACCAGGCTGAGCGACTTCATGATGTGGCAGGTGCGTGAGGACTACTCCACTCCATTAAGCTTGTGTAGCCAGTATTTGATTCCTTTTTATGACAGAGTTCTTGTATCGCATAGTGAAATAAGGCTTATCATTGCTTAAATTAACAATTGCTTTACAAAGCGTCTTCATTTTAGGACTAACCCAATCCATTTCCTTTTCCATGCATTTAGTTCGATTTGTAAAAAAAACCGTATCATTGTTTATTATTTTTGATATAATATTTTGAATTTTTTTATTTTTAAAACGATGCTTTAAAAGTCGGCTTTTGAGCACCGACAATAAAGGTGGCTAGCACCAGAAATGACTGCACAATTTAAGAATTCCTTCCATCTTTGATTATTAAATATAACTTATCAACCTTATTATCCCACAATTTCCAGCTGAGCACCTCCGTGCTGTACTTCAGCAACGTCCTGTGGCCGCAGATCACGTTCTGGCACTTCCTGGCCAGCATTCTGGCCTACCAGCGCGACCGCTGGCAGCTGAAGGACTTCCGGTGCGCAGAGAGGATGCAGAGCGTCCAGCTGGCCAAGACAAGCGACTTCTACAGCGAGCGGGTGCAGAAATTCCTGGCCACCATCGACGAGGACCGGCGGAAACTGCTCGTTCGACTGGCCGCCAATTAACGTCCTTAGCTCCCTCCGATTTCTGAATGTGAACGTTTGTGATATGAGTGGGGAATAAATTCGTGTAAATACCATATACATATTATACGCACGGCTGCGAAGGACTTGCAGCCTACTTCGCCAGGCTTTCACATTTCAATATGTGTTACCTACGAGATTTGTTCACTTAGTTGCACTTGTTGAAGACATCCAACTGGTTTGTGGCCGATTTGTGCGCTTATATAGCTTATTTGCAATTTTCAGTTATATAATAAGTACCATAAAGTGTTTGCCTTCCGTTTGATTAGTAAATTATGAAATTGAACGAGAAATTGTTTTTAACTGGGTGGGGAAAAATGATTTCTTGATAAGATTACCATTCTAAAGTTAATCAATTTCAAATGGATAAATCTCAAAAGACAAGTGTTTGACAATTTTAGAGAGAATCTTAAAAATGGAACCGGTTCTGGTTACATATATATATATTCAGCCATGGCTCAATCGGAGATATTTTTCTGGTTGCGGATATAATAAACATTGATACAAATTTAAATAAGCCGCCAAACCGACAGGTGGAAAAACAGAGTGGCAGCACTCACACAGGCGTTGCCAGATCAACGGTACCTGGCAGTCTTCCATCCGATAGTTTTAAATAAGCACCTAAAAACCAAAGAAAAATGGATAGACTATGCAAACTCAAAATTAATTGAAATAAAAACAATTTATATTTAAAAATTAATATCGATATTATAATGCAAATTCCCAGAGGTCTATCGTAAAATACAATCGATATCGAGATGCAACTGTCCAATCGATAAAAAGAAAAGGTTGAGTTGATCTCGCATAGTTTATTTTATTGATTGCATTGGTAATTAAATTGCAAACAGGATTCGTTTTTAAAAAACTATTTTCGGCACTTTTATTGCCGTCTCGCGCGTGTGTTTGCGGCGTGTTTTCGTGTGTGTGTGCAGTTGCAGTTCTGCAAATTTCATGTGTGTTGGTGTGTGTGCAAAACTGCTCCTTTGTTTGCCCATAAAAAAGCGGCGTCGCCTTTGCGCAGTTTTTGTTGTTGTAGTTGCCGCCCCCACCCTCCGCACCCTTTGTTGTTGCATTTGTAGTTGTCATTGTCATTGCCGCCGCTTGAGCTTCTTCCTCTTTTACTTCTGCCGGCGCTAGGGTGTGTGCTGCAAAAATAAGGAAAAGGAAAATCGAGAAAAAGGCAAATCAGGAGCTAAAAAACAGAAAATCGCCCCTCTTTTTAATTAATTGCACGCAACTAGAAAGTAACACCCAATAATCGTTTGCAATGTATGCAAAAAAAAATTAGGAAAACGCGAAGAAAATGTCAATAAATGCATATAAGCAGCGACAACAACAACAACGTGACCAAAAACCAACCACCAGGAGTGCATATAATTGTGTGTGTGTGTGTTTAGTGGGTGAAAACAACAAAAAAGCAAGCCGGCTTGCTTTTAGCCACCCCCAACCAAGCGAGAAAGAGAGGAGAGGGATGCCGCTCCTTTTCGTTCTGCTCTCCCACGCCGCAAAACGTTCACCGTTAGCAGCCTGCAGGTTGCACCTGTCCCTGTATTGCTCTCACTTTGCAACATCGCCTGCCTTTGATTTTTGTGTTGGACTCGGTTTTTCTAAATCACTTGACCCCATTACCTGGTGGCTGGCCAATACCTGCTTTTCCGCCCCGGCCCCACCCCTGTGCGTCTCCTTTTCCCCCAGTGGTCATTTGTTTTGCCGCTTTCTAACAAACAGAAACAGTTGAATTGGCGCATGCTCTCTCTCCATCTCTCTCTCGATTTTTGCTTACTGCACTTGGAAAATTACAGTGCGGACTCGAAAAGTAAACAAAAAAAAAATAAATAAATAAAAAAAATATGATTAAACTTGCAAAAAAAAAATGTTAAATTTGATTTGATATGCCAAGGAAAATTTCTAAATTATCATAATTTTTTGTTCACTCGATACAGTGTTTACTGTATTTATCTATGGACTTCAAGATAGGTGTGTCGTGTGTGTGTGTAAATCTCTCCATAACATTTATCATAAGGATCGTTAGCCCTTAGGTGTGGCATAATTAACCCTTACCGCTGGCTGGATCGTATTGCTTGTGTTCCCATTTTTGCCAAATGTTTTTCCTCGCGTTTCCTTTTTGCAACTGCACTTGGAAAATTACGGGGCTCACTTAAAGTAAAAAAGCTAATCAATAATATATCTACTCTCCAATGAAAATTGTACTTAGTAAACTGTTTGCAACTTAGAGAGAGCTCACTATTTGGTTTCATAAGGATCGCTCGCTAACCCTTAGGTGTGGCATACTAACCCTTGCTGCCGGATCGCACCATTTTTGCCCAGTGTTTTTCCTCGCCTTTCCTGTTGTACAAACAAACATTGGCATACAAACACACACATATATATATATATATATATATATATACGCCACAGAGAGTGCGCGAGTGTTGGTGTGGCTCATCCGGCTTCAGTGGACACCATTCTTGTCCAGCTTTCTCTTTTCAATAGTGGTATCGTCGCAATAGCAAGTGCATCTCTCTTTTATTTTTGTTGTGTTTTATTTAATATCGCCTATTGTTTGCCTTATCGGATGACGATGAGTCAGGAGCGGCAAACCGATAACAAACTGTGGAATGTCCCCCGCGCCCAAGTGATATACTTATACGGACTTGTTTGCCATTTTCCAGAAACGAAACGGAGAGGCGAAGGAGAGCTAAAGAGAGCAGCGACTGGAGCGAACGAGAGGGAGCCACTCTAGCCACCGGACTAGCGACAATCAACAATCGACAAGTGACACTCGCCCAGAGAACATCATCCAATCCACTCGACCAACGACCAACCATATCCACATTCACATTCACATCCACATCCGCCAGAGACGCACACCGCATCGGATCACATTCACATCGGATCGGATCGAAGCCCATTTCTACCAACTAGCCAACCATGGCCTGGCGATTCAAGGCTTCTAAGTACAAAAATGCCGCACCCATTGTGCCCAAGGCGGAGGCCTGCGTCCGCGAGATTTGCGTGGGCAGCTACCAGACGTACGGCAACAACATCGCCGCCTCCGGTGCCTTTATGGCCTTCAACTGGGAGCACACCGGCTCCAGCGTGGCGGTCCTGCCGCTGGACGACTGCGGTCGCAAGAGCAAGACCATGCCGCTGCTCCACGGCCACACGGACACAGTGACGGACCTCAAGTTCTCGCCGTTTCACGACGGCCTGCTGGCCACCGCCTCGCAGGATTGTCTGGTAAGGGATTTGGGAAATAGATAGATTCGGGAAAGCCTATTAAAATTTGAGCCCCAAAAACCTTCTACTTCCAAACTCGTCCTGTCATCAGGAAACTTGGGCTCAGTCCATAATTTCCGAAATATTTACCTGATAAAAATTGACAATTCGCATTCGAATATATTTGATTATTTGAAATTCCTTTTTTTTTTTTAGATTTTTATCCTAATTTGTTTCTAAATGCATAGAACCAAACAAAATTAACAAATTATTCCCTTTTTATATCAACAGGAATTATAAAAAAAGTTTCCTCATTTCTGACTCTGAAGTTAGCATGAAAAGAATTGCTAAGCTTTATTTGAAAAATTACAAATTGTTGTTCAAACATATTGATAACTATTAGCGAACAATAATGTTTTATTTAAAGCGATAACGCCGCAGAAACCACAAACCATAAAATCAACGCAGTCATATCAAATTAGTCACAAATTTGATAGTATTGGAAATAGGTTGTGACGAATAGGGATATATTCCCCTGCTAATTGGCTAACACTTATTGTCATCCGCAGGTTAAGATCTGGCACATACCGGAAAAAGGTCTAGAACAGTCCCTTTCCGATCCGGAGGCCATCTTCTCACACAAGCAGCGACGCGTGGAGACGGTGGGCTTCCATCCAACGGCCGATGGCTTGATGTACTCCACAGCCGCCGGCTGCGTGGCACTCTTTGATCTCAGCACCCAGAAGGAGATCTTCTGTGAGTCAACAGCTCCTGCTGTTCATTTAAAACAAACTCAAACTAACACCAACTAACTCCAACTTCTTTTCCCCGCGAATAGCGAACAATGAGCATCCCGAGGTGATACAGTCGGCTAGTTGGCGCGAGGACGGTTCCGTTTTGGCCACCAGCTGCAAGGACAAGTGTGTGCGAATCTTTGATCCCCGAGCTGCCGGTTCACCCATTCAGCTGACTGCCGAATCGCACCAGAGCATCAAGGATTCACGGGTTGTGTGGTTGGGCAATCAGCAGCGCATCCTGACCACCGGCTTTGATGCGGCCCGACTGCGTCAGGTGATCATTCGTGATGTGCGCAACTTCAATACGCCGGAGAAGACTCTCGAACTGGACTGCTCAACGGGCATTCTCATGCCACTCTTTGATCCGGATACCAATATGCTTTTCTTGGCCGGAAAGGGTGACACGACTATAAACTATTTGGAGATTACGGACAAGGATCCGTATTTGATTGAGGGATTGCGACACACCGGCGAGCAGACGAAGGGAGCTTGTTTGGTGCCCAAGCGGGCACTCAAAGTCATGGAGGCAGAGGTCAATCGAGTGCTGCAACTGACCTCAAACATGGTCATTCCCATCATGTACCAGGTGCCCAGAAAGGTGTGTATTCGGGTCCCCTTAAAACAAAAGGCAAATCATAATGGGATTACTCCTCAGACATATCGGGATTTCCATGCCGATCTCTACCCGGAGACTACTGGCTACAAGACGGAGCTGGTGGCCGGCGAATGGCTGGATGGCAGCAACCAGGCGGTGCCCAAGATGAGCCTCGATCCCGCCAAGCGCGAGCATGGCGATGAGCCCATTATTGTAAGTAATCTTCCCATAAAGGGGATTTTTTATACCCTGACTTATAGAGTCTAAGGGTAAGAGGACTTCAAAGGCTTAAGTTGAGTTTAAGTTAGTTAGGGTTTCTATAGTCAGCTCTTGTTAGGTGATTCGTTTAACCCTCCTTTGGCCATCAATGTAGATTCATCGCGGCAACCTTAGCGATTTCGTCAAGAACCTGGAGAATCAACGGGCCAAGAGCCAAACCACTGGCAAGCCGATTCCCAATCAGCAGGCCAAGCGCAACGATAACGAGCACTTTCTGATGCTGAACAAGGGCAATAACTTTGAGGAAAAGAACGGCAATGACAACAGCAGCGAGAGCAATGGCAAGAAGAGCACACCCTCGCAGTCGCAATCCCAGCCGGATGGCGAGTGCAGTGAGCTCATACGCAAATTCGAAGCCAAATATAAGGTGGATTCGGAGAAGGAAAAGGCCCATGCCCATGGCCATGGCCATGCACACGCCCAGTCCCAGGAGGATGATAAAGAGTCGCCCACCGAGCAGGAGCATTCGACGGGCAGCAGCGAGGAGGTCTCCTCGTCCGGGGGACTGGACAATCACTCGGCCAGCGGCAGCCACTCGCCGCCGAAGCCCATGCCGCGCACCTCGCGCAACAATTCCCTGCCGGAGGCCAGCGATTCCGCTGGGGAAAGCAGCAGCACCACCACGCCTCGTCCGAGGCCACGCACCACCGCTGCGTCCGCCTACAAGGTGCCGTCACCACCACAAAATAATCCACTCCCAGTCACTCTTGTTGTTTGTTTTTTTACTTTTGTTTAAGGTTTTGTGTTGATATTCTCATGATTTATTGTTAAGCCACCATTTCCATTGATTTGGTTTTAATTAGGTTTCATTTTGTTTAGTATCCAGAGTTATCAAGCACAAGTTCTTATTTCTTCATCGTTTTACTTTTGTTTATCCTTATTTTGTAGACGTTTAGTTAAATAGCATTTTGCTCACAGCTGTTTTGTATATTGTTTGTATGTTTTGATTACTTTGCAGCATTCATTGTATGATTGCGAAAGGAATCCATTCTTACTTTTGCGTTTTAGCTACTGTATTCCATTTGTTTTTATTATTTGTAGGCACAGCACATGAAAATGTATATTTATTTGCTTTTGCCAATAATCAAAGCAACTCAATCAACATTTGTTTCATATTTCTGCGCTTTTGATTGGTTATTTTATTCAATTACAGATGGTTTCACGTTTGTTTTCCTTGTAAATTTTGTTTTCTTATCGACACATTTTCAGTTTCTTAAGATACTGATTGTTTGCCCAGACTATTTATAGCTTTTCTCAGTTTGTATTTTGTATAACGAGAAACTTTTTATTTTCCTAGGGGCTTCGTTATCAGTTTTTCATTAAAACCTATTGTTGCGATGTTGTCTAACACAACATTTTATTGATCCACAGCCACGACTGGGTCCCAAGCCCTTCTCCAGCACCACAGGTGACGTGTCGTTCGACAAGGTTTTCGCCGTGCCCCTGGCACCGGGATCCCATGAGAATATCTCGAACGTGGGCCAGGACAGCGCAGTGGAGATGTCACCCGCCCAGGGGGCCAAACCGGATCTCATTGTGGAAATCGAAATCAAAAGTAAGAGGACTTGGGAAACTTGTTTGCCACATTGCTAATTATTTATTTTCATTTCCATTGGCATTGCCAATTGCCATTGCCAATCGCAATTGCAGAGAAGCACGAAAGAGAACCCGCGGTGGCCGGCAATGGAGTCCAGAAATCGCTGACCACTTCGGAGCGTCGCAAGGTAAGTCCGAATAAGTCTACGAATGCCGCCTCTATATAATCCACTCCTATTCTACTATAACGTTCTGCTCGCCCTCTTTTACATGCCTGTGCCAACAACAAAATTCGCCCCCTTTCGCCTAACTAATTTTGAAACGTTCCCGATTCCGATCCCGATTCCGATTCCGACTACTTCCAACTAACCCCTAAAAAAAAAAAAAACAAAACTTTATCTTCTGTACTTCAACTACGGCCACATCTGTAATGGGAACTACTATAACAACTGTGTAGTCCTCGGCTGACGATGATGAATCATCCGACAAGGTCTGCTAAAGGGTTACCCAATGTCGACTATCGAAGGAAACACTAATCTCTTTTCTTGAATTTCTCTAATCGTTCTTAGATATTCGAGCAGAACTCGGAGTCGTCGGAGAACTCCACGGAGGGCGAGGATCGCACGGATGCGGATCTACGACGGTTCTCCTCCTCCCGGAGCAGCTTTGCCGAGCGCCGGCGTATATATGAGAATCGATCCAAGAGTCAGGTGGACGAGAAGCCCCAGTCGCCAGTGCCATTGTGAGTGGTAACTTTCGCGTGCAATCGATTTCATTCACTTACCCTTTGCCTCTCTCCAAACCGCAGACGTCGCGAGCACTCCAAGGTGGAGCCACTGAAGCCCAGCCAACAGCAACAGCAGCAGCAGCAGCAGCAGGGCAATGTGATCGACACCAAACGCATTTCGGTGCCGGAGGGCAAACTCATGGAGGAGCATCGCCGAGGAAACGGGGCTGGACTAAAGAAATCGGCCACGGAGACGGCCTTTAGTGCCGCCAGCACCAAGCGCACCTCCACCGTCTTCGGCAAGGTGTCCAAGTTCCGGCACTTGAAGGGCACTCCCGGCCACAAGTCCACGCACATCGAGAACTTGCGCAACCTGAGCCGCCAGATACCGGGCGAATGCAATGGCTTTCATGCCAATCAGGAGCGCGTTGCAGTGCCGCTTTCGGGACCCGGCGGCAAGATAGCCATCTTCGAGTTGAGCCGACCGGGCCGGCTGCCCGATGGCGTCATTCCCTCGCTCGTGAACGGCAGCAACATCATGGACTTCCAGTGGGATCCGTTCGATGCCCAGCGTTTGGCCGTGGCCTGTGACGATGGCATCGTCAAGCTCTGGCACATTGAAGCCGGTGGATTGAGTGAGCCGACAAACACACCGGCCGGCGAGCTGATCGCTCACCTGGACAAGATCTACTTTATACGCTTCCACCCGCTGGCCGCCGATGTTCTGCTGACCGCCAGCTATGACATGACCATCAAGCTGTGGGATTTGCGCACCATGAGCGAGAAGTGCTCGCTGTCGGGCCACACGGATCAGATCTTCGACTTTGCCTGGAGTCCCTGCGGCCGGCTGGGCGCCACCGTGTGCAAAGATGGCAAGATCAGGGTGTACAATCCGAGGAAATCGGAGACGCCCATACGGGAGGGCAATGGACCAGTGGGCACACGCGGAGCTCGTATAACCTGGGCGCTCGAGGGGCATTACATTGTCTGCACTGGCTTTGATAAGTAGGCTATAAGTGAATCATTGCTTAGCGCGTGAAGTTCTAACTGGGGATCTGATTACTTTTCAGGGTTTCGGAGCGACAGATTAGCGTGTACAATGCCCAAAAGCTGTCGGCGCCATTGAACACGGCCAGTTTGGATGTGTCCCCCTCGATACTGATCCCCTTCTACGACGAGGACAGCTCCACTCTGTTTGTCACGGGCAAGGGCGACTCGACCATCTACTGCTACGAGATCACCGACGAGGAGCCGTACATCTGCCCGCTGTCGCACCATCGCTGCACCTCGCTGCACCAGGGCCTCAGCTTCCTCACCAAGAACCACTGCGACGTGGCCAGCGTGGAGTTCTCGAAGGCCTATCGGCTGACCAATACCACCATTGAGCCCCTCAGTTTCACAGTGCCCCGCATTAAGGTGGGTTTTGTTTTAGCTTATGACCTTATTAAGGATATATATTGATTCTAATTGAGTTTCTCTTGCTTGACGCAGAGCGAGCTGTTCCAAGACGACCTCTTCCCACCCACACGCATCACCTGGAGCGCCACGCTAAGCGCCGAAGATTGGTTTGCCAGCAACGACAAGGCGGCTCCCAAGGTCAGCCTCAAGCCAGAGGGCATGGAGACATGTGAGTGTTTTTTTTTGGTATGACAAACCCCTCGGCTGATTACTGACGGGCATCCCTGTTGCAGTATCTTCCATACAGCAAGTGCCAGCGCAGCCCATTAAAAAGCCCGATCATGCCCAGTTCGGTGGCCAGAAGTCCGAGTACGAGATCAACAAACAACAGGAGGTGAGCATAAAAAATCCCCATGGCCGCCTGTATACGAAGCTATATGTCGGTGGTCCCCTTTGCAGATCCAGAAATCGGTTAGTGCGCGCATGGAGTTCACCACCAAGCTGGAGCAGGACGACATGGAGGGCGTGGACGAGAACGAGTGGCAGGAGTAGCAGTGTAGCCAGCGTCTGCGGCGGACATGAACCATGGAAATCAGTTCACAATTTAGCGTTTAACCAAGGGGCGTAATTTTTTTTACCAATCTAGACATGACGCGGCATCATGACAAAACAGCAAAAAGCAAACAGCAAAATGTGCTCGACAAACATATATATATATATATGTAGATATATATAGACTTGTGGCTCGAGCCTATATAGAAAACTCGTAGTAAAGCCGAAAGTAAAAAACTAACACAGTATCCTTATCCCCACACTTAAGTACACACACCCTCATCCCTCATTCATCATACATCATTCATCATTGATTATTGACAATTCATCACCATCATCATACCCTGCATTTAGTTCCTCGCTTCTCCGCCAATCACTGCAGTTGCTCAATAATTGCCAAATTACACATCATAAGCCAGTTTTGTTCGTTTTGTTTAACGTTTATTTTTGTGTGAAGTTTTTTTTTTTGTACTTTATGTGAGTATTTTTTTGTATTTTTGATTTACCCATACATATATATGTTCGTGTTTTTTGTGTGCTATTTAAGTAGTTAGTCCAAAATTAGTTTAGCCTATTTAGGTGTTTACACTTACGATTAATTTCCTGGGTTCTCCTGTGTCCTCCAGATTGTGTGGCCATATAGGAAAAGTGAGGAGAAGGACTTTTAGCTGATACTTCTTTTACATATACGCATATGTATTGTGTATTGTATTTCCCTCTCAGTTTTTTTCATGTCTGCATGCCAATGAATGAGTGAGAGAGAGCGAGAGAGAGAGAATAAGAGAGAGGGAGTGTGTGTGTATGTGTGTCTTTGTCTGTCTGTCCCTGATCTTTCACATAATTTCACCCACTTTCTACCAGCCCACTCCATCCCAATCCAATCCATTATCCCAAGATAAACCCGCCCAAATCGAGCCGATGATGTCCACCGCCCCGCCCCCCTCAAATAAACATCTCTTCTAGTCTTTCGCATCGCTCGATCCCATCGATCCCCTCGAGAACCGCCATTCATTCCCTAAAACATATAGACTGTAGCCAAAAAAAAAAAAACAAGAAAATATTACTGATAATTACAATCAAGCCAGACAATTTTTATACTGTATAATGCGTAAATCAAACATACTGCAACAGCCGAATCAAACCGAAAAGACATGCAAATAACAATTCCAAAATGTATAACGAAAAGACTTGAACAGCGGATGGGTCAGTTGCCCAGCTGCCCATCTCCATCCTCTGAATCCTCCTGCACCCCAAACATCCCCTACTAACGCAAAATATTAAAAAAAAAAAGAAAACAGGAAAGAGGAAAGAAAATGTGGAAAATTAGAAAGGGGAGAGTAATAGGTTGCCATTTAAAACGTTTGCAGTACGTTTTGTAAACGGAAGGCAATAGAACGTAACTCGAGTAGCATACCCATAGGCAATAACGTTTTGTACTTGCAATAGAATTATACATTTACACATATACATGATATATTATATATTTTGTATACCAATCGTAACTACACAGGCCAAGAACTCGAACTCCTGGCTAAAAACGACTGATCCAAACCACAAAGGGCGAATAGCGTGGCAAATTCAAATTTAAATCTTTCAAAACAGACCAACAACCAATTCTCGGGTAACGGGCAATATTGTGCTAGACAAGGTTCTATTATACAGATATATATATATATATATATATATATATATATACCATACGCATAGTTATAGGCATATATATACGTCGCAAAGCCAATTCCAGCAATTCCAAATCGAAGTCCAAGTTGCATTTAACTCCAAACGCCATGGAACGACTGACAGACAAGTATTTGCTAAACATTCTGATCTTAACTAATCTGATCTGGTCTGCCCCGCCCCCATGACTAGTACTTATGTCAGAGATTATCCCAAAAAAAAAAAAAAAAAATGATGAATTTCAAGAGGTTGGCAAGGGTTCTATTGAGATCCTATGTTCAAAAAAGAAAAGAAAAGAAAACCCATCTCCAATTCCAATCCCCCGAACCGACCGTCAGCCCGCAGATATTATGTCATTCTGTATTTATTAGCCATATTCGATTACGATTTTCGAACGTCTCTCTTATTTATATTTATATTTATATATATCTATAACAATACCAATATACGAAAATACAACTTCAAGCGATATATAATACGATGATAAACGATTAATTGCTTGATTGATTGATTGACGATTCACAGCGGATATCGAAGCGATTAAGTGTACGAGTACGAGTGTAAGCCAGAAAGTAGAGAGGATGGATTGAGAAAGTGTAGAAGCAGCAGCAGCAGCAGCAGCAGCAGCAGCAGCAGCAGTAGAATCGGAATCAGAAGCATACACATTATTTATACAATTTATTTTACAGTACGAGTATATCCGATAACCCCCCATCCGATACTCTAGCACTAAGTTATAATTACAATAATAATAATGAAGGCAAAAATATATTTATATACATAATTCAATAAAAAAAAACAAACGGAAAATATAAATAAAAGCAAGTGTTTCTTTATGTTGAGTGCACTGGTAAGAAAAATGTAGTAAATCCAAATATGTATTTTTTTTTGTTTTTTACTACACCCGATATATAATTAAATATTTCAAAATATTTAGGTCACAATTTAAGCTATCACCTAGCTGAAATCATAAGCTTTCGAATTTGTTGCTTTGAGGCAGTGGTTAGCTCTGATTGGATTGGCCAGGTGGTCACCAGGACAACCAACGTGTTGTCTTTCCAGCTTTTAATATCATCATCGTCATCGAACAAACAAGCTGAGGAAGGTTGTGGTGCGCACTTTCCCAAAAAAGGGCCAGTTGAAGGCGGAGTACGGACTGGAGTTCAGGCGGCGACAATGAAGTTCCTGCTGAAGAAATGCCTGCGCAAGAAGGCACCGGAGATGAAACCCGGGGCCATCCTGGATGCCGTCATCTCGCAGTCCTCGGCCACCGCCTGCAAGTGTCTGCTCTACAAGCTGGCTGACTACAAAAGGGGTAAGTACTCAATGAAGATGCGATTTGGTGACCCCGATCCATTGTCATTAAGGCTAATCGAAAAGGTTTGCCATATCAAATTTGGATTGATAGCTATAGGTTTAGGGTTTAGTTATCCAATTGTCTGCGCTTAACTTTTGGTGTTCAGTTATATGTCGATTTCAAGAAAAATGGTTTCGGAAAAATAAAATAATACTAGTGGCTTTGTTATCTAATAATCTGCATACAAATTTGTATTTTTATTCTTTTTTTGGCCATATTAACGTTCAAACATTTTTCTCCCCCATTTTCGTATTAGTAATTTCCAAACTCCAAAATTAGACTTATAGAGCTCATAGCTGTGCTAAATTTAAACCGATTTCAAAGTGTCTTAAAACTTGTAGTTTTTTTAAATAAAATTCTGCATTCAATAGTTTCTGCATTTAACCAATATCATGTTAGTTATTTCATAACTTCCAGTGGCTCGTAGAAAGGTGACCCAATTAGAACTATCTGAGTCTATAACTATACCGATATAAAACTAATTTTAAATTTATATACCTCTTAGAACTTTTATAAAATACATAACAATTGTTTTATGAATATGGGTAAATATTTTCTAAATTTTAGAATAAAGGTATAAACATATATAATATTGGCACAATTTATGATGTGCCTAAAATAGACTTGGTGACCCCAAATCACCAATAGTTAGAAGTTGAAACATAATTTTTGTTGATAATAAAAATATGAAATTAGAGACATGTGAAACCCCAGACTAATGAGCCCATCCCGGCCAGGTGGTGACCTCATCGACGCCATTAACTCGGGCGGACTGATTGCCGTGGAGCAGCTGATCCGCGAGCAGTTCGGCGTGTTTATGTACAACGACGGCAAGGGCCAGGTGATCAACCGGGCGGAGTTCCTGCGCTGGAAGTACCGCGACCACACCGAGGTGACCATCCCGATCGAGGCGTCGCTGTCCATCCACGATCCGCTGGGCAAGTGGGAGGACCACAAGGCCTGCTGGCAGATGCAGTACCGCGGCGCCCTGGGCGAGAGCCTGCTCCACGTGCTGATCATCTGCGACTCCAAGGTGCACACGAAGCTGGCCCGCGTGCTGCTCCGCGTGTTCCCCAACCTGGCGCTGGACGTGATGGAGGGCGAGGAGTATCTGGGCGCCAGTGCGCTGCACCTATCGATTGCCTACAGCAACAACGAGCTGGTGGCGGACCTCATCGAGGCCGGGGCGGACATCAATCAGCGGGCCATCGGCAGCTTCTTTCTGCCACGCGACCAGCAGCGGGCCCATCCGGCCAAGAGCACCGACTACGAGGGACTGGCCTACATGGGCGAATATCCGCTGGCCTGGGCCGCCTGCTGTGCCAACGAGAGTGTCTACAATCTGCTGGTGGACTGCGGCGCCGACCCCGATGCCCAGGACTCCTTCGGCAACATGATCCTGCACATGGTCGTGGTGTGCGACAAGCTGGACATGTTCGGCTACGCCCTGCGCCATCCGAAGACCCCGGCCAAGAATGGCATTGTCAACCAGACGGGCCTCACGCCCCTGACCCTCGCCTGCAAGCTGGGCCGCGCCGAGGTCTTCCGCGAGATGTTGGAGCTCTCCGCCCGCGAGTTCTGGCGGTACAGCAACATCACCTGCTCCGGATATCCCCTCAATGCGCTGGACACCCTTTTGCCGGACGGAAGGACCAGTGAGTGCAGTGAATGTGGGGAGCTATTCAAAATTCCTCATAGACTTGACACGTATAATTACAAATTGATCATATCTTATGCATATCCTATCTAAAGTTGCTTTTTGTGTATGTAGATACCTCCGAAACTTTATAGATTTGTCTCTATTACTTACAGACTATTATTTTTTTTTTATAGATAATTACAAATGAACTATATCTCATTAAAAATACAATTCATATTATGAATTCTGTTTCTAAGAATTTGATATAATTATTAACTTACTTATTATGTCCATTTTTATTTACTTTACTTGTCGAAAGAACTTTAAAGATTTGGCGTTATTGCGTACAGACTATATTTTGCACCTTATAGTTAAAGTTATTGATAATATTTTTTTTTTAAATTGATATTAATTTGTTTTCTGAAACTTTTGGATATGTATGTAGATATCGTCGAAAGAACTTTAATTTGACATTATTATTTACATATTATTTACTTTACTCACACTTTCTTATTTTACTTGTTTCTCATAGTGTCTGATTGATCATATTATGGACATATTTGATATTTCTATAAATACTTTAAGGATTTGGCATTAATACTTAGAAATTATTTATTTTGATTATAGATATAGCATGTAAATTGAAAAATTTCTTGTATCCTATATGAGTTATTGAAAATATACTGATTATCTTATATGAAGTTGCAATATATACCTATGTAGATATCAAATTTAAATGAAATAAATTAGTAAAACTCAAAACTATACCAATTTCAAAACAGACTGGAATTCGGCATTGTTTATCATCCTGAATGGAACCAAACCGGAGCATCTGGACATGTTGGACGGCGGCATAATCCAGCGTCTGCTGGAGGAGAAGTGGAAGACCTTTGCGCAGAACCAGTTCCTCAAGCGCCTGCTCATCCTGTCCACCCATCTGCTGTGCCTCTCCGTGTCCGTTTACCTGCGACCCGCCCACGATGGCGAGGCCGAGGGCGATGACTCGGAGGGATCTGACCCGCTGGCGGCCGCTCTGCAGGATGTGGAGCCGGGCGAGGGAACTGATGGCGACTATAATGCCCAAACGGTGGCGCGTTATTGCGCTGAGTTCGCCACCCTGGCAGGAGTCCTCAGTTACGTCGTTTTCCAGCAGGGCGACGAGATCAAGAACCAAGGACTATCCGCATTTCTTAAGCAGCTGGTGAGGATCTCAGTACCACTTTCTATTATATCCAAGAATACATTTCCCTCTTTTGTTATGTATTTTGAATAGAAATTAAATATTTTTTGTAAGTTGCATTGTATTCGAAGTATATCACTCATACATACTGTTGCCTTTGATCATAAACTTAAAACTAAACATCTTCGTTGTCGAATACATTTATACTAATGTAAAAATAGATAAAATTTCATTTTAATTTTGTTATACATCTTATTTTCCCACTTTATAAATCTTAATCAAAAATATTAAATTAGATACAGTAATTGAATCCAAAATAATATCATAGATTTTATAAGATATATTTCAAATTTACTTATGAAGAGCAGTTTTTAAAATACTTTCAGATATTTTTAGAAGAAACGATTTTCTAAAATGCATTTAAATTTATTTATTTTTATTTAATTACGAAGAGCGATTTCTATAATATTTTATTTGGCTTATACTTTATAGTCGCATGCGCCGGCTAAGGCGATTTTCCTGTTCTCCAACCTGCTGATCCTGGCCTGCATTCCGTTTCGGCTGATTGGTGACACCGATACCGAGGAGGCCATCCTGATCTTTGCCGTTCCGGGCTCCTGGTTCCTTCTCATGTTCTTTGCGGGGTGAGATTACCAAGTTCGCACTGGAAGTGTTTTTACCCATCCCGAATGACGATTGCAGGGCCATTCGGTTGACGGGTCCCTTTGTGACCATGATCTACTCCATGATCACGGGCGACATGTTCACCTTCGGCATAATCTATTGCATTGTGCTGTGTGGCTTCTCGCAGGCCTTCTACTTCCTGTACAAGGGGCATCCCCAGGTGCAGTCCACCATGTTCAACACCTACACCAGCACCTGGATGGCCCTGTTCCAGACCACTTTGGGCGATTATAATGTTGGTATCCCCCCCTTAAGTAGATAACTACCTTTTGTATGCCTACGATTTTCTCTCCGATAGTATCCCGATCTGAATCAGACCACCTATCCGAATCTCTCGAAGACCGTGTTCGTCATCTTTATGATCTTTGTGCCCATCCTGTTGCTAAACATGTTGATCGCCATGATGGGCAACACCTATGTGACCGTCATTGAGCAGTCGGAGAAGGAGTGGATGAAGCAGTGGGCCAAGATTGTGGTCACCTTGGAGCGGGCCGTGCCGCAGGCGGATGCCAAGGGCTACCTGGAGGCCTACTCCATTCCGCTGGGTCCGTCCGACGATTCGGGATTCGAGGTGCGCGGCGTGATGGTGATCAAGAGCAAGAGCAAGACGCGGGCCAAGCAGCGCAAGGGA